CCGCGCTGTGCGTATATCTGTTCTGTTTTATTTTCGCTATCTCAGCCCCCGCGAAGCCCTCATAGCTAACAGAATTTAACCGATATTTAGGTCATTTGGCAAGTGGAGTGCTTGTTGACAGACGAGAGGGACTTCCACCGAGTTACTCCAAAACGACGCTTCTTTCTGTGGAAATCGTTCTCCAGCGCTACAGGGCCTACAAAACGGCATCGCCAGCTTCCTGGGACCGCTATCCATGTTGCGATCATTTGCCGCCTGTGCTAGGGGGTCTATGAAACTGTTGGATTGGATCTGGGACTCAAGTTGTACTTCTGCGGAAACCAGAGTGTCTCGATGGGATTTGACGAATTAGTTGCGATCGGACCCTCTGTACTATTCGTTTCAGTTCTCGAGGTCATTGTCTGTAGCTGCTGGAGGGGATTTGGAAGTAGTGAAGTGGCTATTTGAACATTTCGCTGGCTGTAAAGCAGGCACCGTCGTGGTCGACGCAGCAGCAAGACACGGCCACTTACACATTCTGGAATTCCTGTGCAACTGCACTGACGATGGCAGGGAAAGGGACAACCAGTCTCGCAATAAAGCCATTTCAAGCGACGACAAGACTGTAGCAGAGAGTATTCCTGGCAATCCTGGCTTTGAACAGGCAGAAAATAACGTAGATTGGAGTCATGACGCCATATCCATTGCCGCTGCACATTGACACGTTGATGTTGTGCTGTGGATTTGAGAATGTGGAACGCTGACCAGTCCCATTGACAGTCTTGTAGTACTGGTGAGTGCATTCGTGCAATCTGCTGCATGAGATCCAGGCGCCCGCTTTCCACTAAGTCTCGAATCGCCCGCACAGCTAGACCAGCATCTCGGTGTAGATAGCCACAGTCCAGCATCCATTCGATCACGTCCACGCGAGGACAATCGTCAGCATAATCCAGGACACACCTTCCAGGAGGAAGCAGCAACTCTACGAGCTCATCTTCACCACCGTGGAGGGCGTGCTGAATAGTTTCGCCGTAAGAGCTGTCATACTTATCGTAATGGGGTGTGTTTTGGTACAGCCATCGCACGACACCTTAATGTTTATGCCCGGCAGCAGTTAACATGATGTTGTCATCCCAAAGAACAGACCTGACTCGTTACGTTGCATAAGGCATGCCGGCTCGGTGCACTCCCGATCATTCAATGGTTGGTGATGCAGCCGTCGTTCAACCGAAAATACTCTCGTTCAGAAATGGTAGAAGCAGCCGCCGCGAACGGCCACCACGCGGTGGTTCAGCACCTCTGTGAACAAAAAATCACTGACTTCTACGACGGACCTCTAAAGGCTGCCATCCAAAGCGGTCACTTCAAGTGTGCGGAAGTCCTCATCATGCATTTTTGTCGTGCTCAGGATCGAGCTCATTTTTCCGCAATAGATTGTGCAGCAACACAAGGTAACCTGCAGATGGTTAAATTTCTCCACGCGTTTAACCCCGGAGAAGTAGCTGGAGAACAAGAACTGTCTGCATGTGAAGTGTGGTGGTCGAAGCCCCGCGACTTACTGTCCGAGGCCGCAGCGAGTGGCCGTTTGGAGTTGGTAAAGTGGGTGTACTTAAACTATCCGGATGAAAAAGGAGAGGACGCGATCGATAAAACAGTTTCTTCCAACAGTCTCGAAGACGTCCAATGGTTGTATGCGCATCGATCTGAAAACTACGCCAGAAATGCATTGCGTTATGCCGTTGCTCGCGATAATCTGCCTATGGTTAAATGGCTACACTCCACCGGATTGGTAGGGTTCCCCTATGATACGGCGGATTTGGCGGCTAGCCTAGGCCATCTCCATATCCTCAAGTGGCTCTACGCTAATCGATCCGAGAGATGCTCCTCTATAGCTACGAAAACTTTCACGCGCAACGGGCCTCTAAAGGTTGCTGACTGGCTTCTCACCAAGTTTCCTGACCAAATTTCGTTGGATTTAGATATTTTCAAGGATACGTTCTCTGACAAATTCGAGATGCTGCTCTTTCTGGACGGGCGAGAATCCCAGAATGGCCATTAAGCACACGACTAGATCAGGTTTGTCATCTAGAAACGTCTCAGAAATAGCGTGAACTATTTCTACGAAGCTATACCTAGAAAACCAAAAATTGCCAATGGGCGATCGAAATTACACAAAGTACGGATAATCTAGACCGTTCGTGTCAGAAACGTTAATACCTAGAACCACTCTTCAAAAAAAGTGTTTTTTAGAACTCCATGTAACACAGAAGTAGTAAATCAGCCCTCAACTAAGCCTAGGAACCCCTCACCGTCCCCTAGACCTCGCCTCATTAGACTAAATCACCACCTCGGGCGTTGCCCGCAGTGCTTTAGTCCGCAATTTGTGAGTGATACGAAGTCATATTTGTCCACTTATGGTATGAAGGATGAGCTGAACTGGCAGTGAAATGAAAGAGGTTTGCCGCGTTTTTTAGAAAACTTTATCGATATTTTAGCGATAACCTATTGCGCTTTGCATCCAGTTTGCCCTCCTAATTAGTGCACTAGTTAGTGTTCGTACTTAGTGGTAAATCATGGAGGCTATGAATGCAAGTTGCTCAAGTGGTGCTTCGAGCCCGATTTGGCTCGGAAATGGCACTTTCTAAAGGTGCCAAACGGATGCTAATCCATGCTGGATGTGCTGAATCATGCAGGAGATGGCGTTTGCGCACTACTTAGTGCTCATTGACCATCCACGACTTACAGCAATTCGTACTCGAGTACGATTTATAGATAAGTCGTGCTCGATAAATCGTACGAGTTACAGTCCGAAGCACCAAAAAGTATGCAAAGCACAATAAAAAAAACAATATAAATAGCGGTAGGGCGCCCTACCCACACATATGATTGGTTGAAACCAATATCATCGAATCATATCTGAACGTGTAGAATGGCTGGTTCTCCAATATACACTTTTCCAGACGCTGCAACATGCCACCGTCCCAGCTCCGCGTTGTGGCAGTTGCCCTCCGGCAGCATCCACAAGTCGCACATCGGATGCTCCATCTCCAGTTTCCTCGGGCCATCTTCCAATCTTTCCCTCACTGATGCCTGCAAGTTCGGCTCCATCACCCTGTTGGACTGGGTGTGGGATTCCAGCGCGCCAAGCCAGGACGCTCGGACACCAGGGTGGACGCTATGCAACTTCTTGCGGTCCGAGCCGCTCTACTACCAGTGGCAGTTCCACAAGGCCACACAAATCGCGGCAGCTCGAGGTGACGTGAAGACGCTCGAGTGGCTGTTCAGCCACTTCACGGGCTGCGAAGTCCCGTCCGAAGCAGTGACGAAGGCTGCTGCAGGTGGACACATTCCGGTGCTGGAGTTCATGCTCAACCACGACGCAGGGTGGAACTTCAACCGAGAGATCGTGCAGATGAGCTACGGAGAGGGTGGCGAGGACTCGTGGTTCGAGAGCGTCCCCGACCTACCTGACGACTGGAGTGGACCGGGAAACGTGGTCCGGTGAGGTGGTCAATCTCTGGATGCTGCGGTTCGAAATGGTCAGTATGAGACCGCGCGGTGGCTACAAGAGTACACTTCTTATGAGAGTACAGAGGAAGAACTGGATGAGATCATTTCAATTGCCGCTAATGACGGGGCCGTGGAGTTCGCGGAGAGTCTGAAGCCCAAGGACTGCGACTTGCTGGAGTATATAAATGAGAGGACCAAGCCTAAAACCATCGAGTGGCTGCTAGAGAAGGGGTATGTGAAGAAGATCCAGGACCTCGGCGCCATGGTCATTGTGGTAGCGGCTGTGCACGGCGACTTGGACCTCATGCAACGCGTCGCGCGGCTGCGCAACAAGAGGCGGAAGATCACGCAGTGGCCACGCGAGTGGAAGTTCTCGATTGGCCTCGCGTGCAGTCGCGGCAACTACGAGATGGTCAAGTGGATGGTGGAGCACCCGCTAGGCCCTGATGCCATTGCTGGCATGAAGGATAATTGCACGTTCGACTGTCTTCTCGATGATGCGGCAGCAACTGGTAACGTCGAGCTGGTAGATCTTCTCTTCGACCTTGGCAGCGACGACCTCTACGGATCCGCATTGCTCAAGGCAGCGACAGGGGGCCATTTGAAGTGCGTCAACCGGCTACTGGAGCGCTGCTCGACAAGCATGTATTCGAGTCGGGAGTCGATTGAGAAGGTGGTAGTTGAAGCCGCCAAGAATAATCACCTGGACACTCTGGAGTTCTTTCACTACCAGGACGCTCCACTGATGCACCCTTGCACTAACCGCGAGACGTCTCCGAAGCGACGACGTATCGAACCAACCAATATCTGGTGGGCAAGAGCAAGCGCCGCCTTCGATGCAGCTGCAGGTAATGGACACCTTGAGGTATTGAAATGGCTTCATGCCAATCGATACGAAGGATGCTCGACGGATGCAATGGACCAGGCTGCGGGTAATGGGCATCTGAAGGTGGTGAAGTGGCTGCACGCAAATGTTAAGGAAGCGACCTGCACGGAGCGAGCTATGGACACTGCTGCGACAAACGGCGACTTGAGCGTGATCAAGTGGCTTCACGCAAACACTGACGCTGGTTGCACGGTGCGAGCTATGGACAGAGCAGCTGGATACGGTCGCCTCAAGGTGCTCAAGTGGCTGCACGCGAACCGATCTGAAGGATGCACGTATCGGGCGTTCAACAGCGCCGTGTGCAACGGACACTTGCGAATTGCGTATTATCTGCGGTCGAAGCTCCCGCAACTCACTCCACCACCGGACAACCAGTTCTGGTTCCGCTCACAGAACCAATTCGACGTGCTGCTGTTTCTGCGAGAGAACTGTCCCGAGATTTTCACAGCTGAGTTCGGTCGGGAAACCAAATATGATTTTGCGGGCGACTCTGCTAGACCCGGCGATTTTCTGATTGAAGAATGGCTTGATGAATTGTACCCGGAGATTAGTCAAGAAGGAGAATAGAGGATTGATCTTTGAACCAGGATATCTGTATCACTGATTTTTTTTTGAGAGCTTGGTTCATAAAATAAATTTCCTCATGGGTTCAAATTATGTGCTGCCGAGCCGATTGAGTTGCATAGGTCATTCAGCAGCCAAATTCCAAGATGCTCCAGAACGCACCGGTACTCAACGCGCTGGTGTGTTTTCTCTCATCATCCCGTTAAATGTCGCGATCGCCCCAGTCCTTGTTGGTCGCCATGATGCTCGCCCCGATCAAGATTCTGCAATCCATCACTACTGTAGAGGACCGAGTATCTGGCTATCGATGCTACCCGGGTAAGAGAACCGATAGGCGCAAGCCGCTGCTATCCCAAAATCTGGCCAAGCTTACACATATTCTCGTTTCGTGACAAAAGATGCAAGCTACTTCAGTAGTTTCGAAACATTCCTGCTCTGTGCGCGGAGCACATGTATGTCCAGCCAGATTAACATATCTTACCGACAGGAAGAAGAAACAAGGAAACACGCCCAGTCACATACCACGAGTGTCTGGCTGCAGTTAAGGTCATTCGCCTTTTCAACACCTTTCCAACTCTGAGCTCAAGTACTCAAGATGCTTCACCATGACGATATTGTCGTAGGCTTGGTCTCCATCGCACAAAATGTGTCATGAACTTTCGAGTAGAGGTGACATGACGGCTGCACGAACATATTTCAACTGCCAAAATCGGTGTGGGCAGCATTTCGGCGAGCAAGTGTCGCGACTGTATCAGTACATACAAGAGCGATGCATATATTTAGAGTTTACGGCGGTATTGAAGACGAAGGTTTCCGTATAAATAGTTGTTTTTTGTGTGCTGGGGTTCAAAAAGACAACATGCTTCCTCTTAGCGTATCCTTCGTCCTACGGCAGCAGCCCTGCGCCGACGCTCTGGAGCACCTCGGGCCCTATCTCTCAAGCTTCCTGGGGCCCCCTCGCCACCTCTCACTGCACCTTCGGCTCCACGAAGCTGCTGGACTGGATCTGGGACAGCAGCTGCACCTCCACTGCTACCCGCAGTCCGTCCTGGTCTCTCTACAATTACCTGCGCTCGGACCCCGACTATTACCGCTGGGAGTTTGCCATGGCTACGGAAGTGACTGCAAAGCGAGGGGATGTAGCCATGATGAAGTGGCTGCTGACCCATTTTCAAGACTGCGAAGTACCCATCGAGACCGTGGAGCAAGCTGTACGCAAGGGCCATGTAGCCATTTTGCAGCTTTTGCTCAAGTACGACACCGGCAGCCAAGAGATTCAAGAACCAGACGCCAAGAAGAGGAAAGTGGCTACAGAAAGCGGTGCCTCAGATGAGGGAGAGCCTTCACAAAACGCTGCAGGAGGCCATGTTGTCCTTTGGAAGAATCGAGATCGACATTGGCGACCGTCTATTATGAAAGACGCTATCCAAAGCGGCAATGTTCCCGAACTTAGCGATGAAGAGACTGTAGGATGCGCAGTCAGAGCAGCGATGCAAAGCAGCAGTTTGGAGCTCGTCGAGTTCTTTCTGCCTGAGGGCAAAACTGTGCTGGACTTCGTCTCATTAGCTGGACACTCGGTCGAAGTCGTCGAGAAACTGCTGGATGATGGGTATTTCGAGCGATTCGAAGTCATTGACGCGTTAGCTTTACCCAATCTAGCAGAAGCTGGTCGCTTAGATCTGCTACAGCGAGCTTCGAAGTACTACAAGCGGAGCAACAAGCACTGGCAGGAGTGCTGGAGAGACGCCCTCTTTGTGGCTTGTCGCCTCGGACACTGCACTGTTGTGCGATGGATGATCGAGCATCCGATGTGGCGTGGAGTCCGGAATCTCATGAAGCGCAAGAGAACCTTTTCCCGGCTGTTATGGTACGCTGCCGACCACGGGAGCGTCGAAGTGATGCAATCTCTGCACGATTTAAAAGCCGCAGACAGCTATGGGGACGCGCTGGTTAAAGCAGTGGCGAAGAATGACATGAAGTGCATTAATTGGCTGCTCGCTAACTTTCCGCAATCTGAACACGTGTCAGACTACGCCGTGCTCGATGAAGCCGCGAGGCGTGGGAATCTGGAGTTGCTGAAATACTTTCACAACTTGGAATCCGTCCCTGGGTTTGTGCCAAAGACAGCAGAGTTCGTCCTGGTACTCGACGGACGCCATGGACGACGCTGCTGCGAATGGACACCTTGCAGTCGTGCAGTGGCTTCATGAAAACAGGAGCGAGGGGTGCACAACGGAGGCGATGGATTGCGCTGCTGCAAACGGCCATCTCGAGGTGGTGAAGTGGCTGCACTCCAATCGTAGTGAAGGATTCACGACAAAAGCGATGGACGGAGCAGCATCTCACGGTCACTTGGAGGTTGTGCAATGGCTCCATACGCACACAAGCGCCTGCTGCACGACAGCAGCAACGGACGGAGCCGCCAAGCATGGCAAGTTATAGGTGCTGAAATGGCTGCATTTCAACAGAAGCGAGGGGTGCACAATAGAGGCGATTGAAAAGGCGTTTACTCACGCCCACCTTGGAGTTGCCATTTGGCTGGCAGCTACGTATCCCAACTTCGCGCCCGAGGAATTATCGTGTTACTCCGACGAGAGCATGTTCGATTTAACACTGTTCGTGCACGCGCATTACCCTGAACTGATACACACTCGAGGGTTTCAAGACAACATATTCAACCTGAAAACTACAGATGAGTACCTCAGCCAATGGCTGCGGAAACATTATGCTGGGCTGGACATGTGAGTTCTGCACCATGACCCCTATACTATTATGTCCTGGGGGCTCATTCTAGCAAGTTTCAGTAGTTGAGTTTCAATGTTCACCTGCATGTATTAACAAACTTTCCCCCGAGGTATAAGTAATGGATGTGCTAACAAAAACAAAATTGTAATAAAAAAAATAAAGAGGTACTTTTGTTGAGTTTCCATCTCGTTCCAACGTACACTAATCCACAAACTAGTATTTTTCTTCTAGCATCTTTTTAACATGTAAAATGGATCTGCTGGGCGTCCTCTGCAAGCACGAGCGGTTCGCCCTTAAAGTTATCCGCAACAATTTTACTTGGGACGTCAGCAAAGTTTTCGTGCAGAAAAAGAAACATAACAAAGGTTGGTAGTGCAGTTTGATAGTTTGATCGACGACTGTTCGAGATCGAGGAGCTTGGCATGAATCTAGTGTGCTACACGCACCAAGCCGCTAAAGAGAGCGTTCACGAGCGTATTGCTTGAGCATTCTTCGGGATACATAGCAACTAGCCGTTTGATGGCCTTTCACTGCATTTTGGACCCGGCTGTGGGACTACCTGCATCTTGCGGAAGAACCCCAGACGACGTATGCTGCAGGTCTTGTAGCTCACGGTCTATGACGTCCCGCTCAAACTATGTGTAGATGTGTAGCCATTTAACGATGGGAGTAGACGAGAGCTGTTCTCCTTACTCGATCTATCTCGCTTTTTAAGAACAATTTCCGACGATAGATGCGCTGCAAGTCTGTCCTATTTAGATGAGCTATGTCATTGTCCAAGGCGACAAATTTGTAGCACCCATTTATCATATTGATGTTAGCTCTGCAAGATATAAATCATGAACTCAACTCTAAAGGGGCATGCCTGCAAGATTATCCGCTTTAAGAGAAATGATGTGTCCGTTGGCTCGACATGCAATGCCCGGCGGACTCGTTTTCCTTCTCTCAGGGTGGATGCAAGGGTTTATTCGTTTACAGTTGCTTCGGCCGATTCAAGTGGAGCGATCTCAAGATGGTTGCGATGGAGACGTATGACGTTGTGGGCGTAGTACATCTTGGGATGTATGAGCAGCTGTGGACCAACAAGCTCCAAGCAGTGAATAAAGCTCCATCGTTCTTGATACTGCGATCAAAGAAGGGTTCCTGATAGAAATACTCCAATAAGATAACTAGCTAGGTTGTCTAACCAGCCGAACAAGCCACAAGTCGGTCCATCAGATACTCAGAAACTACTCATTGAGACGCAATCATCACGCTACGACACGGGTGGTTGGTTCACGGCGCACAGACGGCAGCGTCAAATGAAAATCCGACGTAATCGCTCGTTGTTTCGACGAGCCGGTGGGAGATTGTTCAATACCGATCGCTGCGTCTTCGTATGCACGTCGTGGCGATATATCGCTCGACGTTGTTGGCCACTGGAAGTGCAGCTCGCGCTGCATCTTGCATGAAGTCATTATTCTGGCGGGCCGCAAGCGTCACCGCAACAGCGCCGAACTGCCCTAGTGTATTTGGAGCCAGCAGGAAACGCCCACAGCGACTGCCTGCCTCTCGGAGGAGTTCTTGAACGAGATCGTCTGTGAACGAGTTAACCGTGATCTGTGGGGGTAGCGTCTGCAACCAGTCAGGCGCACGAGCTGGGTTCAGCGCATTTGCTGCCGCCACAAACGCTGTCAAGTTGTTTAAGTCCCAGCTCAACACGAAGCCCGGATGGTCGTCATCAATTTGGATCGACGAAAGATATTCATCAAGCTACGTGCAAGCACCGTTAATATCATGAGGTTCGCAATCCAGTAGTTAGTACTCACCACGGGGATTGCCGCGCGGAGGGAAAACACGTTACGCAGCCGCTCGTCGAACGAGTCAGGCGAAACGAGCGCGGGCGAATGAGTGGACTTCATCCACTTTGTACTACATCGGCAATTCGTGGATCTCTTGCTTCCTACGGACGGGAGAAATTGTGTTCTGGACTTATCTCAAGAAAGACATGGAAATTAACGATTGATGGGATTTCACATTTCTGCAGATTCACAAAGGAAAGCGACACCACCCTGATTGAGTGGCGTGGCCTAAAGAAACGAGTTTTTGCCTTACAAGTCGTGCTTAGTTCCTCTCCAGCGCTTAAAGATATCGAAACCAGCTACAGAATTCCGTAGGAATGTCTTCGATTGTGTCGCAAACTGATGGTTGCTCAAGGTGGACACTAACAGAATAGAATTATACAATTGAAGAGAGGCGGAGAATTTCAGGATATTACGTAACAAAGTTTGCGGTCTACACTGATTAAAGTAATAACAATGCTACTAATATTATTCTCCTCCAATAATAATAGCGCTGAAAACAGTTGAGCAGGAATTGGTAGACACTTCTGTTGCCAAAATATACACAGCAGTATGAATTGCAGGGCGCTCTGAAGAATGAATAAGAGTTTCGAATGTTATGCTGCTTAAAACTGTGTCGAAGGTATCGGAAGTATTGCTCTAAGCGAGTCAATAACCGTTAAAACTTTGCAAGAAACGTGAGTTCATCTTTTGGGCTTGCCATTCAAGTCTTCATCACCGTCGCCATCACCTTTACCACTCGACACCTCTCGTCAAACTCGAGTAACGAGTCACGTTTCCATGTCGTCAATAAATATAAAAGCCCTCAAAGTTCTCCTTCAGCCACTTTTCAACATGATAAAATGGATCCGCTGGACAGCCTCTCCTCCGTACCGATCGTCTACCATCAAACTTGTCCACAACAATTGTCCTTGCGATGTCGGCAAAGTTTTCGCGCAGAAATAGTAGTATCTCGAATATGTTGGCAGTGGAGCTCGTTAGATTGACGGACGACAGCTCTACATCAGCGAGCTTGGCATGAAGCCAGCGTGCCACGCGCACGTGACCACTCAGCAGAGCATCCTCGAGAGTATCGCCTGTGCATGCTTCGGGATGAATAGCTACCAGCCGCTTGATGGTTTCGAGGTCGCCTTCTTGAGCAGCCACTTTCACTGCATCTTCTGGACGCGGTTGCGGGGTGTCGTTAGCAGGATGATTTCTTACTGCATCATGCGTAAAAACTCCAGGCCACGTATCCTGCAGCCACTGCGCAACCTCGACGTAGCCGATAACCACTTTATCAAATACACCGGGCGCCAAATCAAGCTGGAGGTGACTATACATCCACTTCAGAACTTCGATCTGGCCACTTTGAGCAGCCCATCTCACCGCTTCGGGCCATAATTCCGGAGAATGCTGTCTGGTAGCTTCTAGTTGGTCGGGTTGATCAAAACTTTCAAGGTCGAGATCATCAAAAAGTGCGATCAGTGAGGCTTCTTCATCTTCGCCGTCTAGACTTCCATACGTAAAGCACCCGAGCAGGCACTCAACAGAACCCAATTGTCCTCTACAGATCGCGGTCGCTAAGACAGAGCGATCCAAGTCTTTCGCTCCACGTTGGTGAAGATAGTGGATGACGTCGGTATGGCCTCTTTCAGCAGCTTCACACAAGAGATCATCAATGTGACGCCTGCTCGTCTTTTCCGTAGAGCGATTACACGCTTTTATTCCATTTGGATGCGCCACCAGCCATTCTAGCGTTGCTAAATCTCCACTCCTTGTCGCGTTCATCAATGCGTCGCGCCATTCATCTACCCATTCTCCATCACACTCACTCCCGCTGGTAGGAGGCGAATGAAGCAGTAGAATTTGTTGCATGAGCTTCAAGTGACCACCCATCTTCGCTAAGTCTCGAATCGCAGAGACTGCTACGTGCCCGTCTTGCTGTAAATACCCCATATCCAGCATCCACTCAATCAGTTCAGGCGTCGGGCGTATCTGGTCAAAGTCCAGGACGCATTCGCTTCCGTCGGTAGGAAGCAAGCGATCTGCGAAGTCAAAGTCACCGAAACGTAGAGCATGCTCGATGAGTCTTGCTCGCTGATCAGTCTTCAAACTATAACTGGCGTTCTCGTACAACCACCGAGCGACATCACTGTGATCATTTTCGGCCGCTAGTAACACCGCCTCATTTCCCCAGTAGACCAAGTTTCTTTCAGGGGAGGGAGGCCTGACAGGTCTCGAGACGCCCAGTAACACTTGTAATACAGTGAGGTGTCCGTTCCGAGCTGCAGCATTAACGATACTCGGTGGTGCTTCGCACCCCTGGAAATGATCCAGCAGCCACTTGACCATCGCCACATCCCCCCGACCAGCTGCCACCTCCAGCGACTGGGCAAACTGCCAGCGGTAATAGTGAGGCTCCGATCGCAGAAAGTTGGCAAGTGACCATCGTGGTCTTCTCTCACCGATAGTCGGGGAGCTTGAATCCCAAATCCATTCCAGCAACGCAATCGAACCAAATGTGCAAGCTTCACTGAGCGACAGAGCAGACGATGGACCCAGAAAATCTGCTATACATTGTGTGATATGTTCCAGCCCCGCAAGGACTGTGTCCCCCCGTAGCGCAAAACTCACAGTCGCCAACATGCTGAACAATTGAAAGTGGTTGGAATGTCGAGGAAAGCAACTCGACTTGGCGTCAGATAGCATCGCTCAGTATAACGCACGCGAGAGACTTAATTATCATAGATCAAGGGAAGGGTTTGAAGTAGGATGAAGCAACCCATTTCAAATGTAAGCTCATCTTCCATCATCAAAACTCTTCCTATCCCTCACAAATGCCGAATGTATAGACATGGGGTAGAAAAAGCAGCATCTCAAGCTCTCCTGTTAACCGTTCGATTTACATCCCTTCCTGGAAGTGTGCAGGCGTACAAGTGAACCGCACTTCACGAAACGCCTCAAGGAGGGCATGACGGAGTTCAAGTCGCATTTTTACAATACACGCTACAATACCCTAAGAAACCCCCAACATCCAAACAAGCGATATTTTATTTTCTTGTCGTAATGACTCATTACGCGATTATTTCCTAACTCTTTGCACCCCTTTCGACTGCCGACCTAGTCTCCTCACACTCCAATCTGCGTCCAAGCGCCACCATGGACAAGGGTGTCAAATTCCACTGCACGTTGGTGGTCGTCTCCCTCGTACTCCAGAACCAGCCACACTCAGGTCTCCTCCACTTCGGGGGAGCCATCTCCAGCTTCCTCGGGCCAGACCCGAACCTCACACTGAGCGAGGCCTGCGCCTTCAGCTCCACGGACCTCCTCCAGTGGCTTCTCAGTGGACCTCGGCCGGGACTGTACTCGAAAATGCACCTCCAAAGCCACATGTAACTGCCAGTGTGTGCACGAGTGCATCCCTCAAGTCCCCGAGCACGTGAGACCCAAGGGCAACTGGGTGCATTGGGGGGGCCGCAGCATCGGCCTGGCCGTGGACAACGACCACTTGGACGTGGCCAAGTGGCTGCACGAGCACGCCCCGCACCAAAGCGCTGAGTGCGAGCTCGAGTCAATCGTCCGCAAGGCTCTGGCCGCGGGGGACATCGAGCTGGCCGAGTACTTCCGGCCCGAGGGCGCGAGTCTGCTGGACTTCGCCCCGTACTGCCCGCGGCTGGGGGTGATGGAGATGATGCTGCAGAGCGGCATGCTGCGCCGCAACCAGGAGTACGCGGCCCGGGCCATCGCCGACTTGGCCCAAGCCGGCCGCCTGGACCTCATCCAGCAGCTCGCCATGCACTTCAACCAGCCGCTCGTGTACCGCGGCTTCGACTGGTCCGGCAGCTGGTGCTCGGCCATCAAGGAGGCGTGCCTTCGAGGAGACCTGGCCATGGTCCAGTGGCTCGTGGAGCACCGCAAGGGCCGCCAGTTCTGCCGCGTAAAGATGAGGAAGGACTCGAAGCACATGCACTTCCTCTGCTACGCGGCCGGGGCCGGCAGCATCGACGTCATGCAGTTCCTCTACGACAAGCAGTACGCGGACCAGTTCGTGCCGGCGCTGCTCAGCGCTGTGTGCAAGAACCAGTTGGCCGCCGTCAAGTGGCTCATCGACCACCTGCCTCCAGAGGAGCAGAGCACCGCCTCGTGTGTCATTGAAGCGGCCGCGAGTCACGGCCGACTGGAGATCCTCCAGTACCTGGCCAAGCTGGACGCGGCTTCTTCGTGGTGGTCTCCATCTGAGACGGCAATGAGCTTAAGCTCGGCCGCGGCGGGGAACTTCGTGGACGTCGCACAGTGGCTAGTGGCCAACCACAGCAACAAAGGAAGGTCGAGCATTGCGATGGACAAAGCGGCGGCCAATGGACACTTGGACATGGTCAAGTGGCTGCACACGAACGGGTTCAAGTGCTCGGTGGCCGCCATGGACGCGGCCGCAGCCAATGGCCACCTCGAGATGGTGCGATGGCTTCATGAAAACTGCACGGCCGGCTGTACAGCGCACGCGATGGATCTCGCAGCAGGCCGTGGCCACTTGGACGTGCTCAAATGGCTGCATCGGAACCGGTCGGAAGGGTGCACCAGGAAGGCCATGGCAACGCCGTGGAGCAGGGCCACGTACGAGTCGTGAGCTGGCTGCACGACCACTTCCCCAACTACTCGCCGAAGACGAAGCAGTTGCTGCTCGAGCCGCCGAACGAATTCGAGATGGCGCTTTTCCTCCGCCAGCACTTCCCAAAGGCGTTCCGCCACATGACGATCGGCGTCTACGAGGACCGAAACGATGACCTTGTCATGGGTTGGCTGTCTACTTCGAAGTAACAAGTAGCCCAGGACTCAGGTGGACGTTTTGGGCTTGCGCTCGACTTGACTACCCTGGATGGCAGTTTTGGCGAGCTGGGGGGACAGCTCCGATGTCTGGGTCGCGTGTTTCGCGCTAAAGTTTTGGGGTTCGCACTTTGGAGTTTGCTGCATATTTTTTGAAGTATGGTTTTGATACGGGTTCGTGGAAGGAGTAACAAGCACGATTCACTTGCGTTGTCAGTTTTCATCCGCGTCACGCTCGAAGTCCCAGCTCCCAAAGGAAACGGACTTTTGGACAAGAGTCACTTTACGATCTTCCAGCACCAGACGCCACAAGTCTCCATGTCGCTGCAAGACTCCAGGTTGTGACGTCGGTGCTACAGCGTTTGCCCGCCCTAGAAGCTCCCCACCACCTCGTTCCCATCGTGTCAAGCTTCCTCGGTCCAGACCCAACTTTGTCTCTCAGTCGAGCGTGCGAACTTGCCTCCATCGAGCTGCTCGAGTGCACGTGGAAGAGCAGCTGTATCTCGGCAACTGGAAGATCACCTAGATGGTCTCTCACCAATTACCTTCGCTCGGATCCACACTATTACCGCTGACAATTTGCCGAGGCGTTGGAAGTTGCTGCTGGAAGAGGATTGGCTGCTGTTGAGTGGCTTTTCACTCATTTTTCGGGTTGCTTGGCGCCTGTAGATGTAGTCGAGGCTGCGGCGGGAAATGGACATGAGCATATACTGGACTAACGTATAATATCGAATAGAGTTCCCCTAGCTAATAGAGTGCCCTGCGATTAGAGCGCGGTAAAATAGCGCGCTCTATAAAAATAGAGTGCGATAAAATAGAGCGCGCATCAATAACAACCGGAAATTCAAACTAAGTGTGTGGAAACAAAATGTCGATAGCATGCATGTTGTTAGCAGTGCTGGCGTTGGTTCTTAGCAATACTCCGCAAAAGAAGCCATAATATGGCTATATATTATATGCATCTGTTAATTCATACGCGGCGTGTCCTATCAGCGGCTATAGAAAGTATCAAAATATACTCCAGGGCATCGCTCAGGTCCAGCGTAGCATGACCTTGGCTACGCTTACGAATTCTTAATCAGCAAGTATTTGTTGTCGATCCTCTAGCAGCAATGTTCTGAGTCTACATGCATTGTGTAGTGGAGTGATTTCATACGATCAACACCCCAGCGATGCAGACCACTGGTCACTGTGAATACAAAGTTTTTTTTCTCGATTCGTTGATAAAGGGCAAAATTGATTCTACCCGTTGTTTTAATGGTTAGTAAACTATGCAAGTTGCCCTTACAGCACGCATCAGAGTTTGAAGTCGTACTTTTACATGCGGACCTGTAGAAAGTGTAAACCAATTCTGTTGAAGTATCTTTTGCCGGGGTCGATCTCAAAAGCCGAAGGAAAATAGAGTGCGCATAGAATAGAGTGCGCAATTTTCATTTTACCGCGCTCTAAAAAAATAGTGCGCCGTCCTTTAATCCATATTATACGTGCTGGAGCACGATGCTGGTGCTGCGTTTCCTTATTACCTCAGAGGAGCAATGGGCTTCGACGAACAAGCCGGGATGGAAAGGGTGCCATATCTTCCAGACGATTGGACTGGCCCGGGAAATGCCGTCACGTGGGGAGGTCACTCGATGCTGTACGCGGTTGAGAACAAGCACGTTGACGTTGCCATTTGGCTGCACGAACGATCTGCTCATGGCCTTGCAACTGATAACAACGACAAGGAGGAAGCTGGGCGCATCATTCAAGCGGCTTTGGCGACGGGTTTCATTGAGCTATCGGCAAAGATAATGGCTCGGTATAACGATAACTGGGATGACTGGATGCTCGAATACAGCCTCGACTACCCACTACCCCGATGTATCGAAGTGATGCTGGAGAAAAGGTATTTCCAAGTGTTTGAACAGTCCGGACGTCGTGCAATGCTGTCCTTAGCTCGCACAGGCCACCTAAAGCTTCTGCAACGAGTTCTGCAAGTGTATGACCCCATCCCGACCGATGATCAAAACTGGAAATACAACTGGCTGAGTGCGCTGACGGATGCCTGCAAGAATGGCCACCTCCCCGTCATTCAGTTTATGATGGAACAAGGCAATGGAGCTCAGGCGACCGGAGTTAGGACTCGGACCCCTTCTCAGGGTAGCGGCTGAGCAGGATTCCACCGATGTGCTGGAGTACCTATTTTCTCAAGGCATCACCGACCTGAAAGACGAAGCGCTAAAAATTATGGCCCGTCTTGTAAAACTGCCGCTTGTGCAATGGGTGGTTGAACACGTTATATCGACACCCAAGGGTTCAATCCGCCCCATATTGCATGCTGCCGCGAGTACTGGGCAAGTGGAGATTCTGCGGTATTTGCTTGATCTGGATCCGAGCAGAGCTCCGGGGTTCAAGTTTGATCCGGTTTACCCTGGCGTAATGGAGTCAGCGGCTTTCTTCGGTCAGTTGGACACCGATCAGTGGCTATTTGCCCATGGATTCAAGTGCTCGCGGAACACAATGGAGCATGCAGCGTGCGCACGTCACTTGGACATTGTTAAGTGGATTCATGCACACGCGAAGGTTGAATGCACGACTGAGATAATGGATTCGACTGCCGGGAGCGGTCAACTCGACGTGGTGAAGTGGTTGTACAAGAACCAACCTAACGGCTGCAGTCCGAAGGGGTTCGACGACGCTGTCGAGTTTAGTCATGCTCGAGTTGCCTTCCTGCTCCATGGACAATTTCCCAACCATATCCCCGTAGGGGGAAGGCTTCCTTCTATTGCAGACAATTTCGACATGCTCCTCTTTTTGTACGATCACTACCCCACAATATTTACAGCCAAGGCTGTTGCAAAGGCGAGATATCGTGCCGTGAACCTCTGTACCAAGACTTCATCGAGCGAAATTAGGAGCTGGCTTGGGAAATTAGAAACCACCTTATCCTTGGAGGTTGCCGAGCGTTCCCTCGAAAGCTTGCGTACGGACAACGGAAAAGAATGAATAACTGTAGCAACTTTCATTCTCCAAATACACTTGGGATTCTCATCAACCCTGTTGTTCTCTTTAATTCGAGTCGCAGGATTCCTTGCTCCGGAGGGGGCCACCGAACGGCACACTATATGTAGAATCTCCATCGAATTTCTAACGATCGCAAACGTCAGCAAACCAATCTTGAGTTTCTGCACTATTCGGCGTCATTTCCCACAATTCCCATGAGATTTGGTGTCCTTGACTGGGTTTCTTCAAACCATTCCTCGCAGTAATCCTCATTCGGTTCTCCTTGGAACTGGTATCGAATGAAGCTGCGAGTGACCATGCTTGGAAAATAAAACTTCAGGAAGAGGATCACCTCAAATACATCGTCAGCAACACATACTCGCGTCGGCGTCAATAGGGGGTAATGCGAGTTCAGCCAACTAGCAACTCGCAGCTCGCTATGGTTTAATGCGCTCTCAAGGCCGAAGACTGTGCATCCTTCGGAGCGGTAGGTATGCAACCACTTGACCACGTCCAAGTGTCCTCTCCCAGCTGCAAAGTTCATCGCGTCTGTCGTGCATGTTCTTGTGAAGCCACTTAACAACGACTAAGTGGCCGCCAAGCGCTGCCCGTTCATCGCTTTAGTCGTACAACCTTCAGATCGATGTTCGTGTGCCACTCTACGACTTCGAGGTGCCCATTTTGCGCTGCTACATCCATCGCCGCGGTCGTGCAGCCTTCGAACCGGTTAGTATGCAGCCCACTTCACAACATCGAGATGACCATTTGAAGCCGCAGCATCCGTTGGTCTCCAGACTTCGCCCCAGCAAAGCTGTAGTCCAATGCGTTTGAAGTGAGAGACAGTACACGCTTCCCGTTGAGACGTATCTGTCTGGTCATCGTGCGAGGGTCGTGCTGAAACGGAGTGAAAGCCCGGTACCGAGCCCAAACCGTGTAGAAACTGAATCATCCCCAAGTGACCATTTACCGCTGCTTCGTGCAACACGCAATAGTCGGGAATGTGCTCGGATTGCGGGAGGTGTCCCAGCAGCCACTTGGCGGAGACACGGTCGTCCTTACTTACAGCAAGCAGCAAGGCGTCGCGGTACTTGTCGAAGGCACCGAGTCCTTCGAGACACCGCATCATCGCGATATCCCCTCGTTCAGCAGCGTTTTGCAACAAACACGAGAGATTATTCTCTTCTTTCAAACTTTTACATGCTTCTTGGCCGATGGGATGGCTAATCAACCACCTCACAATCTCAACGTTGCTGCGTGAGCACGCTCGCATGACTGCGTCTTTCCAAACATCTTTCCAGCGTTTTGAGTGCTGAAGAGGAGAGTATTTGGTACTTGCGACTCGTTGCATTAAATCCAAGCGCTCCGTGTCAACCAAATCGAGTATTGCTGCCGCCCCAACTTTCTCGTGTTGATTGAGATATCCGGTATCCAACATTCTCTCCACCGTGCGAGGAATATCTGTGCACAGAAGAGCATACTCTTGAGAGCTCAAAAAGTATTTGCCATCGGGTAGCAGCGATTCTGCAAACTCCACCATATCCAGCTGTAGAAGCTTTGGGATTGAATTTCGCACCGCGCGTTGATGTTGTCGAAGCGGTTCAAAGTCTAGTAGCCAGAGGGCGTCGTTGGGGAATCCTTGTTCAATTGCATGTGCCAAAACTTTTGGCGTATTCCAACGGACAACGTTGCCAGCTCGCGTCGATAGTTCTTCTTCTTGGCCAGGTGGTCGATTGCCAGCATCATGATCTCGCAGATACTTCAAGATGCTCCAGTCTCCCAGACTAGCTGACGCTTCCACAGCCTCAACAGGTACTTCACACCCTGAGAAAGGAGCTAACAGCCAGTCCATCAGCTTAAGGTCTCCACATTTTGCCACAACAATCGTCGACATCATGAAGGCCGATCGGATGTAGTGCGGGTCGGATCGAAGATAATTGTGGACAGACCATCCGGCAGAGCGGTTCTCAACGGAGATACAACTGGACTCCCAGATCCACTCGAGCAGCGCAGTGGATCCGAATTCGCAAGCGTTGGGAAGTGACAAGAATGGAGACGGCCCAAGGAAGCTGGAGAGTAGAGGACCGAGATGCTGGATGTCGGCGCTCGTCTGGTGACGCAGTACAATTTGAACGACTCGGAGCTGGAAATGACTCATGGAAGTGGGCTTCTGTGGTGCTTGGACAATTGAGTTGTAGCTGTGCTTAGCTGTTCTTAGCTTAGGCTGGGTTCACTAATTGTACCCATATACTGTCCTGGATTTTAGTCCTGGATATTTGGCCACCGGCTGCTGATTGTTGATCCAACCGCTGAATGAGTGGCACTGATCTTGTGCGGCGAGGCATGGTACTCGATGGAAACAATCTGAAAATGATGGTTAGAATATCCAAATAGAATTCTAAGCAAAAAACCTACTTCACTGGTACCAATTGCTTGTGCGTAATTGCTGCAGTTTCGTCACGAAAGGAGGACGTATGTATTCGATCCAGCGCCGTATCACTCTTCCACTTGCCTCGGTGGCGCTAGAGCTGGGTCCACCAAGTGCTGAGGGGTTCTGCCTCCTCCGTAGGTTCGCCCGGATATTTGTTTAGCCAGTTTAGAACCAAGAAATCGCTAGTTTCACCATCTTCGCTCAACATATTGGCTCTGGTACCACGCGCGAACTCTGGAGTAAACATCGTTGGGTAGTTCACTTCCAGGAACAAGAGGGCATCAAATAAATTGTCGGGGGAAATCCACAGTCGGTTGCGCTGAGGAATCAGCTCCGGGTGCGTTTTCAGCAGCCACTGAGCGATGTTGAAGTTATCGAACGCAATCGCGTGCTCAACGGCTCTCATAGTGCAGCCGTCGGTCCGATTGGCGTGTAGCCACTTGATCACCTCAAAGCGATTCTTTGACGCGGCCGAATCCATCGCAAGCGTCGTGCAGCCAGCCGTTGTGTTTGCATGGAGAAACTTCACCACATCCAAGTGCCCGTTGCGTGCTGCGTCATCCATTGCCTTTGTAGTGCAACCGTCAAAGTGGTTGGCCCGAATCCACTTCACCACTTCGAGGTGCCCGTTGGCTGCAGCTTCGTCAAAACCTTCACGCACTGTAGTCCACCAGTGAATGGGCTTCTCTACCAGTCTTCGCTTCACGTCGTACTCGGATCCTTCAAGCACCAGCCCACGGGGCAGCGACGCTTCCTGGTCGTGAATAAACTGCAGAATCGCCAAGTGGCCATTACTCGCCGCAGCTTTAACAGCATCGGTCGCTGCGTGGAGATATCCGTACAGTGGCTTATGTTCAATAAGCCATCCAACCGACCCTCGCGAGCCGCACGCACCATGGCAGACGCGTTTTCGTCCGTGAATCCTTGCCTGAAGAGATATTCCACCACTTCAACGTGGCCACTACCCGCTGCATCTCGGAGCAAATTGGTGAGCGTGATATCATCTCCATCCTTCAAGCGCTTGCAGATCTTGCGACCTAGCGGCTGCTTCGTCAGCCACTGCACCATCGCGAGGTCGCCACGCGAACACGCATCGATAATACTACACTCCCACAGTGACGGCCAGTCAGCATTCCTCTTCCGGGCGTTGCGCAGCCCCGCGATGCGTTGAGCGAGTTCCAGGTCTCCACTGCCAGCAGCCACCCGAAACGCCATCGCCGCCATATCCTGGTTCTTCTTGATGAGCTCTTCATGTCCATTCTCCAGTATCCACTTCAAGGCTGCAGGCGTCATCTCCGAGTGCATGTACTGCATGATGTTGCGGTTCGGCGGCTTCACGGCCTCAGCGAGCGCAATCGCCCCGGCGTTCGCAGCGATTTCGACGATCTCCCAGGACTCGCTCTCGTTTGTCAGGTGCGGCGTGTTGTCATGCAGCCAGCGGGCGACGCTGTAGAACCCAGCAGTAGTGGCCTCGCGGATGGCGTGGCCGCCCCACCTGACCGCATTGCCCGGACCGTTGCCGTTCCAGCCCTTTGGCATCACCGGGACGCTGTCCACCCATTCGTCGTCCAGGACAGTCACCTCCTTGGCCTCATGCTCTTTGTCACGTCCAGCGTCTTGGTTCAGCAGCAGCTTCAACACTGGGAAATGGCCCCCTTTGGCGGCTGCTGTGACGACTTCCGATGGAATTTCAAAGCCCGAAAAATGGTCCAACAACCAGTTAACTGTCTTGACGTGCCCCCGACCGGCAGCAACTCCCAGCGCCTTGCGGAACTGCCACTGGTGGTAGTTGGGCTCCGACCGCAGGTAGTTGCACAGCGTCCACGAGGACGCGCGGTCGTCCTCCGAAGTGCAGCTCGAGTCCCACACCGAAGGTGCAGGCTTCACACAGCGACAGGTTCACGCCCGGGCCTAGGAAGCTGGAGACGGCTGGGCCAATGTGCTTCAAGGCCGTGACACTGGGATGCTGCTGCAGTACGAGCGCCACGACCCGCAGCTGGAACGAAGGCATTGCGCTCGTGTTGTGTGGTCCAAAACCCATAATGTGTGGTGTACACATCTCTGTACCCATTTCGGTCCAATTGAATGGGTATAACGTATACATGTATACCATTTTTAGCCCACTCAAACCTTTCTCTCCGCAATGCGTGCGAGTTCGGTTCCATCAAGCTGCTCAACTGGATCTGGGAGTCCAGCCCACCGTCTGAAGCCGAGCGGACGCCTCGCTGGACGCTGACCAACGTCCTGCGATCCGAGCCGCACTACTACAAGTACCAGTTCCACGAGGCGATCCAAGTCGCGTGTCGTCGTGGGGACCTGGAGATGGTCGAGTGGTTCTTCGAGCACTTTTCAGGGAGCGAAGTCCCGTCCGCAGCAGTTGCTGCAGCTGCAGGGGGCGGCCACTTGCCTGTGCTTGAGTATCTACGGGCAAACGACGCTGGGAGGGACTGCAGCCGCGTGGAGGTGCAGGTGGTGCTGGACGAGGACAAGTGGACGGACAGCGTCCCCGTCATGCCCGAAGGCTGGAAGGGACCCGGTAATGTCGTTCGATGAGGAGGGCACGCCATTACAGCAGCGGTCTTTAGTCGTCACCCTGAAGTTGCGCGGTGGCTGTTCGACTCCACGCCCCGCGTAATTGACGAGCGTGAGAAGAACCAGATAGTTGAACTGGCGGTGAACATCGGCGCTTTTGAGATTGCCGAGCTCTTCATGCCTCCAGACGCAAATCTGGGCGACTATGTCGACGTTCGGCTGCAGACAGCAGCCATTGAACCACTGATTGAGCGCGGATGTTTACAACAGAGTAAAGACGTCTCAGCCATTGCGATTTGGACCCTCGCACGCGATGGGAACTTGGACATGATGAAGCGAGTGGCGGCGCTACATCGGCGTTACTCCAGGAAAAAGGGGAGCGAGTGGACGAGGTACTGGCAATCTGCTTTCAACAGCGCGATTGGTCGTGGAGATATCCCCATGCTGAAGTGGATGATGACGCACCCTACCGTGCGTAGAATCTGCAAGGACATGAAAGAGGACGAGTGGGAGAATTTCGATTGGTTACTCCACAAGGCAGCGGACGGAGGGCATGTCGAGGCGCTGGAGTATTTCGTAGAGCAAGGGTGCTCCGATAGGCACGGGCAGGCGCTAACTAACGCGTGCCGTAAAGGCCATTTCGACTGTGTGAAGTGGCTGGTCGAGCGATTCTCATCGTACCAGGAAACCAGTTCTCCGGTGGTTGAAGCAGCTCGTGCGGGCCATTTAGAGATTTTGCAGTTTTTCCACGACCATGAATTATCTGCAGGAGGGCGTGCTGAGGGTGAGACCAGCCCTAAAAGAAGGCGAACGGACCCGACGAGCGCTTTCTGGTCGAGATCTCGTGACGCATTCGACGAGGCAGCAAGCAATGGCCATTTAGAGGTCTTAAAGTGGCTGCATGCCAACAGATTTGAGGGATCGACAGCTAAAGCGATGGACTCGGCTGCGCGTAATGGCCACTTGGAAGTTGTCAAATGGCTCCATGAGAACACAACCGCCGGCTGCACGACGCGGGCGATGGATGCAGCCGCTTCAAATGGCCACTTGGAAGTGTGAAGTGGTTGCACGCTAATCGCAAGGAAGGGCGCACTTTAAAGGCTGTCGAACACGCGATACCAGGCGGGCACTTGGGGGTTATGACCTATTTACACAAGCACTTCCCTGAGCTTGTACCCACACACAACCGACTGTGGGTCCACCCTTCCGGCAACTTGTTTGATGTGCTGCTATTTGTACAAGCCCACTACCCCACACTATTCACTCCTGAGTTTGGGCGAGGCACGAGGAGTGAAATGGTGGACGAACACTACGAAGGCAGCGACTTCCTGGTTGAAGCCTGGCTAGAGGAAAAGTGTCCAGCAGAGCCCACCGAAGAGCGGCAGGTTCATATGTGGTCGACGCTGTAACTTGTTGCACAGTACAAAGCTTCAAATTCAAAGGTATTAAAAAAAATAAAACGTTGGTATTTTTCACAAACCACCATGAAATTCTACCTGTGTGTTTTGTCCCAACTCATTAAAGAAGACTAAATGTTGCTGAAACATCTCGCGGATTGGATTGTTCAGCGTGTGCTTCTTATCGTGAAGGGCGTGCGGTTCGCCTTGCTGCTGCCCAAGCACCTGAACGTCTGGCTGTGTGGAAGAGCTGTCCGCGCTGCCATCCACCCAAGCAGTCGAGGAGTCTCACAGCATCTCGTCTTGTTACGGCTATTCGTTGCTCTCATCACGACTGTGGTGCTGGTGACGTTCGCGATCGTCAGAATTTCGATGAAGGTTCTGCTGTGCGCTGTTCGATGGCCTCCTATGGTGCGACGTATGCTCCCATCTCAAGCCACTCGTAAGAACTAAACAAGAATCGGGCGAAATCAAAGTGCAATTGGAGAATGAAGCTGATGCCATATTTCCATAGCTCTATCCTACAGCGACCCAAATCAACGTCGCACTTTGTCGGGATTGTTTTGGACTCGGTGTTGCTGGTTGATGGATATAGCCAAGAGCGAAGAAAAAAGTCAAACAAGCCAACGGGGAGTCAATGCTTGCCTCGGTTGAGATCATTCTTCGGACATCTCCTGCGCTTCAGGACCTCGAAGCCAACTGCCGGTTAATCACCAAGTTCCTCGGGCCGCCGCCGAATATGTCGCTTCGTGACGGCTGCGTGCGGGGATCGATCAAACTATTGGAGTGGATCTGGGACTCAAGTTGCGCTTCCGTGGAAGACCGCGTGCCTCGATGGACTCTCACGAACTACTTACGTTCGGAACCTTACTACTATTCCTATCAGTTTTCAATGGCGCTGAGCGAAGCGGCCGGTCAAGGGAACTTGGATATAGTGAAGTGGCTTTTTCGGCATTTCTCGAGCTGCAAAGCACACGACTCTGTGGCGTATACAGCAGCGAAGAATGGCCATCTTCACGTACTCCAGTTTCTGTGGGCATACACCGACAAGGCCACTACTGGAGAAACTCCACCTTCCAAGAAGCGAAAAGTTGTCGAGTGTGGTAGTGGGGCCTGTGCTGAGGGTGCTTCTGATAACCACATGATCGGCTCTACCCATTCTGTTGATTGGAACTATAGCTGTATCGTGGTTGCAGCTGAACACGGCCATTTCGACATCGTGCGGTGGCTGTACGAGGCTACTCCGATGAATATGTATGCTGGGATGTACGATCGGGCGATTAGGCATATTCTCCGTGTTGGCAATGATGAGCTCGTGCAACTGCTGCTTCCTCCTGGGAGGTGTGTTCTGGACTATGCCGAAGGGTGCCCTCGTCCAGAAGTGATCTAGTGGATGTTGGACTGCGGATATCTACGCCGAAATTCCGCTTTAGCTTGGAATGCGTTTCGAGATCTAGCCGGCAGTGGGCGGGTGGATTTAATGCAGCAGATTTTGCAGCTACTCACGCATAAATATGGGCGGACCTGGTCGGAGAGCTGGCGTGACGCTTTAGTTAAGGCGTGCAAATGTGGAGAGCTGCCTACTGCCCGATGGCTAGTCATGCAACAGGCAATCCCACGAAACTACTCTTTCGAGGGCATCCTAGAAGCAGCCGCCGAATACGGTCACCACGCGGTGCTTCAGTATCTATGCGACCAGAAGTTCAGGAAGAAATACAGCCAGGCACTCGAAGACGCGATCCGAAATGGCCACCTGAAATGCGTGGAGGTTCTGCTTACGCAGTTATTGCGTGATGGCGAATATGTTTGCTACGTGATCGACTATGCCGCAAGCCAGGAAACTTGGCAATGGTTAAATTTCTACTTGCTTTTGACCCTCAGAAAGCTGTGCCAGAGTTAACGCAAGAAAAACTGGCCCAACTTGAAGCGTGGTGGTCTCAATCTCGTGGCCTACTAAACGCGGCTGCAAGTAGCGGGGACTTGATGTTGGTGAAGTGGGTTCAAGCAAATTTTCCCGGAGAAAGCGCACTGGATGCAATTAACCATTTCCGCATTTTGCCACAGCGCGGAAAATGCAGCTCCGCGTCGTGACGTGGGTGTTGGGCCACCACCCCGCTTTGCACTCCGCTCTGCCGCACCTGGCGCCGCTCGTCTCGGACTTCCTGGGCCCAGACCCGAACCTGTCGCTGACTGCGGCCTGCAAGCTGGGCTCCACCCAATTGCTCGACTGGCTCTGGGAGCGCAGCTGCGTCAGCGCCGACGCCAGACCGGAAGGATGGTCCCTCTGCAACTTCCTGCGCTCGGAGAGATACTATTACCGTTATCAGTTCTACGAGGGCATTCAAGTTGCAGCCGGCCAGGGTGACGTGAGCATGGTGACGTGGCTCTTGGACCACTTCTCCGGCTGCGAGGTGCCCTCCGAGGCCGCCTTCAAGGGCCACCTGCCGGTGCTGCAGCTGCTGCTGGAGAGGGACGCGGGCCGTGAGCGCCCCCACAAGTCGGAGAGAGTGGAGCTGGAGAGCAAAGACTGGGTGGACAGCGTGCCCGTGATGCCCGCCGAGTGGAGCGGCCCGGGCAACGCGGTCCGGTGGGGAGGCAACTCGCTCCACCACGCCGGCGCAGCCAGCAGGATTGAAGTGGCCCGGTGGCTCTACGACAACACGCCGCATCAGTCGAGCCAGGACGACATTAACCGGATCGTGGAACGCGCGGTGGCTAATGGCAACTTCGAGTTCGCAGAGTCTATCATGCCCCGGGGGCGGAAGGTAGCCGACTACGTCATGCAGTTTATGGGTCGCGAAGCGCCCGAGTTAATGCTGGAGCGCGGGTATCTGAAGGAGAACAAGGAAGCTGCTGTCGGCGCGATCCTGATCGCGGCCCATTCGGGGAACCTCGATCTCATGCAGCGCATTGCCGCGCAGCACCTGAAGCCTCCTCGAGGGAAGAACAGTCAGTGACTTCAGTTCTGGGAGCTCACCATGACTAAAGCGTGCGAAGAGGCGACGTTGCCATGATCAAATGGGTCATGGAGCACCCAACGGGACGACTATTATGCAAGCAGATGAAGGAGGACAACCTCATGAACAGATACGACGAACTCCTGCAGAAGGCTGCGGAGGGAGGTCACGTCGAGGCAATGGCGTACCTTGCCAATCAGGGGTGCACCGACGAGTACGCGCATGCGATGGTGAACGCGACTCGTAAGGGTCACTTGAACTGCATCGAGTGGCTACTTGAACACACGTACAGGTACCACCCGCAGGGCTCGGCCGACCGAGTGGTGGTTGAAGCTGCAAAGCTCGGGTATCTGGACATCCTGAAGTTCTTTCACGCCCCACGTTACGCTTCGGAGGAAATGACGCCGAAGCGAAGGAAAATTGAAGACACCGGCGTGTGGTGGGGTCGGGACCGCGAAGCCATCGACGAAGCCGTGGCGAATGGCCAATTGGAAGTGGTGAAGTGGCTGCTGGATAATCGGATCGACGCGTGCAGGCGACCAGCTTTGATCAAAGCTGCTCGCAACGGCCACTTGGATGCGCTGAAATGGATGGAGACCGTCCTGACTCCAGCAGACTGGCCGCCGTGTATGATGGAAGATGCTGCTCACGGTGGTCACTTGGAGGTTGTGAAGTGGTTACACGCCAACCGTAGCGATGGGTGCACGATGAGAGCGGTTGAAAACGCGAGCGGGTATGGAAACCTACGCGTTGCGAGCTGGTTGTGCTGGTACTACCCCGAGTTCGTGCCGTCGCGCAACCGCCTCTGGATGTACCCGGAGAACCTGTTTGACACGCTGCTATTTATCCAAGTGAACTACCCGGATCTGTTTACTCTGGAATTTGGGCGTGGCACCAAGGCTGATCTTTCTGACGAGATTGCGAGGGGGAGTGAAACTCTCGTCAAAAAGTGGTTAGCTGAAAAGTACCCCGGGCGCCCCAGTAACGAGAGAGAAGTCTTCTTCTGGATGATGTAACTCGCTGGAATGAAGAAGAAAAAAGCTTCGTAGCGGACATTTGCGCCTGATTCAAGACCGCTGAGTTGTTTTGGGGGTGCGTTCAACGGACAGACAGTTCGGACACATTTTATCTCCATGTTACACCACATTACCACGAACCGCACGCCATTTCCTGATTTATTGAATGACTCATGGACTGAAGCCACTGGTATTTATGCTATACATCCTCAAGCAAGAGTGGCTAGTAAATCCCGCAGCCAGTTCCTGGCCTCTTCGAATGTCGTCTTGACGGAGGCGTCAGCGGAATCATCCCTTGCTCTTGTAACATTATCAGGTGTGAAAGCTGCTGGATAGTGGTGGTGCAAGAACAGCAAGAGGTCGAAGTCATTGCCTAAATACAAAGGTAGAAAATCCGACTGAACTGGGGCATGGTCAGGATATTGCTGTTGGAGCAGATACGCCACTTTAAAGTGGCACTTGCTCACCGCCAGACCGAAAGCTTCACGGTAGCAGCGCTTGGGTTGGTTTTCGTACAACCACTTGACGACTTCATCGTGCCCATTGGTTGCAGCGGAATCCAGCGCGGCTTCCGTGCACTCAGCTGATGTGTGTTCGTGGAGCCACTTGACGACTTCCAAGCGGCCCGAGCGCGCGGCGGCCTCAATCGCCTCATCGGAACACTCGAATCCGCGTGCGAATAGCCATTCAACCGATTGCAGGTGACCAGCTGAAGCATCCGAAGCAACTATTTGGTCACACTTGAAGTGGAAAGTGCAGTCAGGAGAGTCACGTGAAACCAAATCCAGCAAGTACTGCAATATCTCCAGTTTGTTGTGGCCAGCAGCTACACAGAATAGCGTGGTGATCAACGAATTGGAGATGGGTGAAGTGTGCTCCAGCATCCACTTCACTAGCTCGAGTTTGCCGTGGTAGACCATGGTGCACGTGGCCTCACCGGTCGGGTCGGACACACCTTGAGAAAACAAATACTCTAATACCTCCACGGAGTCCTGTTCTGCCGCTGCTTTGAGGAGAAACTTGGACCCCAAATCCGGCTGCTTAAGGTCCGTCGCTTCGAGCCACGTTAAGTGTTCCATCAGAAACCGGATAACTGGGAGGTGGCCATTCTGGCACGCAGCCATCAGGGCACTCAGCCACCCGTAGTTCCATTTACCACCACTAGCGGCGATACAAGGCTCGCATACTTGCACTACACGCTGCAAGAGCGCTAGGTGGCCCGTACGCGCCAACGGCCGAAGTGTACGGCGTCCAGCCTGCTCAAACGACTGGAAATACCCGTTCTCCAGCAACACTTCAATGCATTCGGGTACTGGGCAGTCGAGGCTGTAATGGATCAACCACTCGTTCAAGTTTCTTTGAGTCCGAGCCATCACCTTCGCAGCTAATTCGAAAAGGCCTTCACTCACAGCTGCACAAATAATCTCATTAGCTTCAAGACCGCCGTTGCGATCAATTCCAAGCTCATGGTCTGGTCGGTCAAACATCCAAGTGGCGGCTTCGACGTGTTTATTCGCAACAGCGTACAACATTGAGTGGCCTCCCCACGTGACGGCGTTACCCGGGCCATTCCAACCATCAGGCAAACGTGGCACTCTCTCCATTGCTGGTTGTCCATTGAAGTCCATCGCCTGCCTCAAGAAGTATGGGAGCTCGGCACCAGCGTCATGTTCCAGCAAGTAGTTCAATACATGCTCGTGCCCATTTTTCGCTGCGGCCTCGACCACGTTCACAGGCGCTATACAACCCGAGAAATGAGTGAAAAGCCACTCAACTGCAGCCAAATCTCCCCTCGCAGCGGCAACTTCCAACGCCTCAGCGAACTGCCAGCGGTAGTAGTACGGATCCGAGCGAAGGTAATTGGTGAGAGACCACTAGGTGATCTTTCAGCGGTGGAGGTGCAGCTACTGCTCCATATCCAGTCCAAGAGCTTTGTAGAGCTGAATTCGCACGCTCGACTGAGAGACAAAGTTGGGTCTGGACCGAGGAAGCTTGACACGATGGGAACGAGGTGGTGGGGAGCTTCCAGGGCGGGCAAACGCTGTAGCACCGACGTCACAACCTGGAGTCTTGCAGCGACATGGAGACTTGTGGCGTCTGGTGCTGGAAGATCGTAAAGTGACTCTTGTCCAAAAGTCCGTTTCCTTTGGGAGCTGGGACTTCGAGCGTGACGCGGATGAAAACTGACAACGCAAGTGAATCGTGCTTGTTACTCCTTCCACGAACCCGTATCAAAACCATACTTCAAAAAATATGCAGCAAACTCCAAAGTGCGAACCCCAAAACTTTAGCGCGAAACACGCGACCCAGACATCGGAGCTGTCCCCCCAGCTCGCCAAAACTGCCATCCAGGGTAGTCAAGTCGAGCGCAAGCCCAAAACGTCCACCTGAGTCCTGGGCTACTTGTTACTTCGAAGTAGACAGCCAACCCATGACAAGGTCATCGTTTCGGTCCTCGTAGACGCCGATCGTCATGTGGCGGAACGCCTTTGGGAAGTGCTGGCGGAGGAAAAGCGCCATCTCGAATTCGTTCGGCGGCTCGAGCAGCAACTGCTTCGTCTTCGGCGAGTAGTTGGGGAAGTGGTCGTGCAGCCAGCTCACGACTCGTACGTGGCCCTGCTCCACGGCGTTGCCATGGCCTTCCTGGTGCACCCTTCCGACCGGTTCCGATGCAGCCATTTGAGCACGTCCAAGTGGCCACGGCCTGCTGCGAGATCCATCGCGTGCGCTGTACAGCCGGCCGTGCAGTTTTCATGAAGCCATCGCACCATCTCGAGGTGGCCATTGGCTGCGGCCGCGTCCATGGCGGCCACCGAGCACTTGAACCCGTTCGTGTGCAGCCACTTGACCATGTCCAAGTGTCCATTGGCCGCCGCTTTGTCCATCGCAATGCTCGACCTTCCTTTGTTGCTGTGGTTGGCCACTAGCCACTGTGCGACGTCCACGAAGTTCCCCGCCGCGGCCGAGCTTAAGCTCATTGCCGTCTCAGATGGAGACCACCACGAAGAAGCCGCGTCCAGCTTGGCCAGGTACTGGAGGATCTCCAGTCGGCCGTGACTCGCGGCCGCTTCAATGACACACGAGGCGGTGCTCTGCTCCTCTGGAGGCAGGTGGTCGATGAGCCACTTGACGGCGGCCAACTGGTTCTTGCACACAGCGCTGAGCAGCGCCGGCACGAACTGGTCCGCGTACTGCTTGTCGTAGAGGAACTGCATGACGTCGATGCTGCCGGCCCCGGCCGCGTAGCAGAGGAAGTGCATGTGCTTCGAGTCCTTCCTCATCTTTACGCGGCAGAACTGGCGGCCCTTGCGGTGCTCCACGAGCCACTGGACCATGGCCAGGTCTCCTCGAAGGCACGCCTCCTTGATGGCCGAGCACCAGCTGCCGGACCAGTCGAAGCCGCGGTACACGAGCGGCTGGTTGAAGTGCATGGCGAGCTGCTGGATGAGGTCCAGGCGGCCGGCTTGGGCCAAGTCGGCGATGGCCCGGGCCGCGTACTCCTGGTTGCGGCGCAGCATGCCGCTCTGCAGCATCATCTCCATCACCCCCAGCCGCGGGCAGTACGGGGCGAAGTCCAGCAGACTCGCGCCCTCGGGCCGGAAGTACTCGGCCAGCTCGATGTCCCCCGCGGCCAGAGCCTTGCGGACGATTGACTCGAGCTCGCACTCAGCGCTTTGGTGCGGGGCGTGCTCGTGCAGCCACTTGGCCACGTCCAAGTGGTCGTTGTCCACGGCCAGGCCGATGCTGCGGCCCCCCCAATGCACCCAGTTGCCCTTGGGTCTCACGTGCTCGGGGACTTGAGGGATGCACTCGTGCACACACTGGCAGTTACATGTGGCTTTGGAGGTGCATTTTCGAGTACAGTCCCGGCCGAGGTCCACTGAGAAGCCACTGGAGGAGGTCCGTGGAGCTGAAGGCGCAGGCCTCGCTCAGTGTGAGGTTCGGGTCTGGCCCGAGGAAGCTGGAGATGGCTCCCCCGAAGTGGAGGAGACCTGAGTGTGGCTGGTTCTGGAGTACGAGGGAGACGACCACCAACGTGCAGTGGAATTGACACCCTTGTCCATGTTGGCGCTTGGACGCAGATTGGAGTGTGAGGAGACTAGGTCGGCAGTCGAAAGGGGTGCAAAGAGTTAGGAAATAATCGCGTAATGAGTCATTACGACAAGAAAATATATTAAAACTTGTTTGGTATAGAATACTAAAAAAATACTACTGGAGATTGACCTTCATTGATAGGTTCGCGCATGATGTCTACATCAATCAATCACGCGTTGGCATGCACAAAAGATGTGGAAAGTCATTATTCGACCTCCCATGCTGACAAGTGTGAGTTTGGTGCTGCGGGGGAACCCGTGCTGGAGGAACTGGAAAACAATACACGAAATATAGCTCTCCGCTCTGTTACTCAGTGAAGCGTGCCACTTCGGTTCGATTCCGTTGCTGGATTGAAGTTGGGAGTTAAGCAGCCACAGAAGGCCGCGATGGTCGCTGACAAACTTTCTGCGATCAGAGCTGCACTACACGTAGTACCGCTGGCCATTCGCCCAGTCCCTGCAGGTGGCCGCTAGTGTTGGGGATGTGGCCTTTGTCAAGTGGCTGATCGAGCACTTCGAAGGGTGTGAAGCACCGTCGGGTGCTGTTGATGCAGCAGTTCGGAGCGGGCACGTTTGACGATAGATAGCTCCGACGAATCCGGCCAACCGGAACCACGACAAAGAGAGAACATTCCTCTGAATTATGGCGCTCAGCCGCGAAATTGGCAGCTCGAAATGGCCAGATTGAAGTTTTCGATTGTATCTATCGAAACCACAAGCTTGAGTAGGCGTCTGCGTTCTTTGATAAAGTGATCATCCGCCACGAGGATGTTGCGCAGTGAATACTTTGAGATATTGTCGCCGGCATCTTCGTTCTGGTAGAAATATTTCGTATCCGTCCTGTACGTCACTTCTTATCACTCACTAGCTAAACACGATTACCACAGTCTTCTGTGTATAATAGTTGCTGCCGATCAAAGAAAGCCGGCACTGATTAAAGCAGCATTGAAATGTTGGCGTTGCGTAACATTGAGCGCAACAATGGTGCCTCTGCCTAACATTGCACAATGTTACGGTATCTCTCGTAGCAGAATATTTGGTTTACCAATGTGACAATAGTGGACACGCGTCGCCACGACAGCTCGACAGCTTGACAGCTCGACAGCGAAGCACGCTGTATCACTCGGGGCGTGCGCCAACAGCTTCCGCCGCTAACGCGGCAAGCGCGTCATGGTGTACGCGCCGACACATGCAGCAGGGGAATGGGCTCTACGGGATCTACGCGCAGCTCTACCTGGGCGCCACGTGTTGTCCATTCCTAGTTGGCAGGACACTCTCGCGTTGGCTTTCGCCTGCGGACTTAGCGACGGCACTTCGGGCCCCACCCCCTCGTACCTTACGCTAAGTCCTCGGCTCGGCCAGGCGCGGTGTCTAGGAAAAAAATATCGGGTTGCAGCGCTCGCCTTCGCTCGCTCGTGCAGACCCGCCCCCGCCTGATCGGCGGTTGTTGACGATCGCCTATCGGCGGGTGTTGACGATCGATGAACGCGCTCAGCGAGGCTCGCGCTCGCGTTCGCTCGCCCTCCCCCTTTAACCTAACTGCGCTGTTGGCTAGAGGCGCATTAAAAGCGCTTACGACTGCTTGGAAGATAGCGCATTCGATTGCATGCAACACGCATCGCGCCTAACGCACCGCAACGCACTGGGAAGGCGTTTGCTCCTGCATACGTAGTACACACATGCATATAAGCACCGCAGTAGGACATGCACACATTAGAATAAGGTTGAGCGGGTGACCGCTACAGACGGTCGCACGATGCGAAGGCGGAGCGAGCGCGCGGGCGCTTGCTTCCTACCCGGTAGATTCTGAAATGAGAGCTGTTGTGAGCCAGTCGCTCCAAACATGAAATTTCACGTCTGGAAAATTTACATTGCGTCAATGTTAGCGATCACGCAACATTGGACCCCATCAATGTTATTGATCCCACACATTGAGGCTAGTTTTCAATGTTGCTTTAATGACTCTCAAGAAAGCCCGCCAAAAGGAGTATTTTTTATGCAAAATGAAGTGATTTCTCGACACTTGGGGGCAATAAACACTATTCGCGGCTACTAGAGTTTACCCCTGCCTTATTACTCGCTATTCGTTGCCATCCCAGGCATTAAGGACGCGTTTTCAGGACCTAAAGGGCAAAATTTCTCGAATCGTGGTGCCCCTAGATTTGTCGAAAGCCCAATTTTCTACTTTTGGTCAAATTCGATGCGGAAATAAATTTCAAACTCACAGTTATCTCCTCTTTATTATGAATGTCAGTAGGACGGTTGAACGGCGTTCGCTTGAGCAAAATTTATTTTTGAAGTTGAGGCTACCGGTAGGCGCGCCAGCCTACTTATCCGACCGATGAGGAATGATTAACAAATCTGGTATTTTGTTGTTTTACATGATAATAGAGGATGTTCCAAGTGTGGTTTAAGTGCAGTATTTAAATATTAAACAACCCAACATCTTCTGTTCCGCAAACGGACAGTCTTACTTTGTGAAATGTTGTCTTCTGTGGATTTCCCTGCATGTTCTTCATTCAGGGAACCGTGCGTTCAGCCACTGAAACTCCGCTATCATGTTATTACTGAGCAAAGATTTTTTCGTGTCTGTCACAAACCGTGGCGTAAAGCACTGTGGACAGCGCGCGTCCACAAACAGCAACATCTCGAATTTGCACAACATGAATGAGTCCGATGGTCCATCTAAATCCGCTAGGACGCACTCGGGAGGGTTCGTGTGCAGCCAGTCAGCTACGCGGAGGGGTCCGTTGCAAGTTATATGCTTAATCATTGGTGTCGTGCATCTCTCCGGGCGATTAGCGTAGAACCATTTGACCACATCCAAGATTCCCAACTTCGCTGCCCCATTCACAGCGTTGCCCGCATTCCTAGTGAATCCGTTGGAGTGGATCCACATCACCATCGCGAGGTGCCCACCAATTGCCGCGTAATACATTGCATCCTCGCTGAATATCGCGGTTCCATCTCCTTGGAGCCACTGTACTACTTCGAGATGGCCATGCACTGCCGCAGCATTCATTGCCTTCATAGCATTTTCTCCTGGATGATTTAGCTGCACCCACTTCACTAACTCCAAGTTCCCACTAGCTGCAGCCGACGCTAGTAAGTCAGCAGATTGACACCACCATGCGTCGCTTGGAGCCAAGTTCTTCTGGTGGTGCTCTGCACCAACTCCTTGGGGCTTGAAAGCTAGCAGAAATTGAACCATTTCCAAGTTTCCCTCTCTTGCTGCATAATCTATCACGACCGCACGCTGTTTATCCCGCAATAGCTGCAAGATCAGAACTTCCACGCACTTGACGTGGCCATTGCGAATCGCGCTGTTTAGAGCCTGGTCGTAGCTGGTATCGATATTTTGCTCGCAGAGGTACTGAACCACCGCATGGTGGCCAGACGCAGCAGCTTCCTCGAGGATACTTGTCGGTAAGTGACCCTGTGGAATCCGCTGCTGCAACACTAGCCATTGGACCGTAGCCAGAGCACCACACTGGCATGCCTCATGTAATGCCTCACTCCAGTGCATTGACCATTCCCCCACATATTTTTTCGGCAACGGCGAGTGTAGTTGTACAATCTGCTCCATGAGATCCACGCGCCCACTAGTTGCTAAATTTCGAATCGCTCCCACTGCTAGATAGGCATCTCGGCGTAGATATCCACAGTCCAGCATCAACTCGATCACGTCCACGCGAGGGCACCTTTTAGCGTAATCGAGCACACACCTCCCAGGAGGGAGAAGCAACTGCACGAGCTCATCATCTCCAGTACTGAGAATGTGTTCGATAGTCAGATCATAGGGCCATTCACGCATATTCACGGGCGTGTTATGGTACAGCCATCGAACGATGTCAAAGCGATCGCACTGGGCTGCAGCCCAGATGATATAATCGTTATCCCACTCGACACAGTTGTTAGTCTCCTCGTACTCAGCAGCATATTGACCCCCAATCTCACTACCACCATCGATAACTTTTTGCTTCTTGTATAGCGGCATGTTTACATCGCTGTGTGCCCATAGAAATTCGAGTACGTGGAGGTGACCCCACATCGCCGCGTTGTAAGCCGCACCTGCAGGCGCTCCACAGTCGGAGAAATGCGCAAAAAGCCACTTCACCATCTCCAAATTCCCTTGGTTAGCTGCTGTTGCGATGGACTTTGAGAACTGGAGGGAATAGTAACGCGGTTCTGAGCGCAGATAGTTCGTGAGACTCCATTGTGTCGCTCGGTCGTCCACTGACGTGCAACTGCAATTCCAGATCCAGTCCAGTAGTTTGATGGAGCCTTCATGGCAGGCGTCGCTCAGTGACATATTCGGGGGAGGTCCGAGGAACTTGGCGATAACCGCTTCGAGGTCGCGAAGCGCAGGTTTGCAGCGCAGCACGGCATCAATGGAAACCAGCATGTTCGCCTTTGAGAGTGAAATAGCTACTGGGACGGAGACTTCAGTTTTTTGTTTATTTTGTATATCCATCAACAAAAAATTGCATATACATCAATCAAGAAAAAAAATCCCGACTGATTGCGCAGCTGAGAGAATACATCTGAATCAGTTAGCAAATTCCGCGCCAGACTTCAAGAAAACTATGTTTATGTCTGTGGGTTTCATGCTCAGCACTTAACGACCTGGAAGACAGTATTGCCAGACTCCTAGGGCCGCCACCGAATATGGCAATGATGTCTGTGCAATGGGGTCTATCAAGTTGTTAGATTGGATCTGGGACTGAGGTAGTACTTCTGTGGACGATAGAGCTCTTGGATGGAGCCTCATACTATTCAGATCAGTTCTCCGCGTTGGTCAGCGTCGCAGCCTATCGAGGTAATTTGGAGGGATGTAGTGTCGTTTTCAGCATTTCTCTGGCTGTAAAGCTTGACATCGATGCGGTTAACACGGAAGCAGAAAGTGGTCACTTTGGTATACTGGAGTTCCTGCGGAGGTGCACCAGTGAGGGCAGAAAAGAAGGTAACCAGCCCAACAAAAAGCGAAAAGCTGGGTAGAAAATATTGATGGGAAATTTCTTGGAACTGAAGACGAGGTAGACTGGAATGACTTGCCGCCAGAAATCGCTGAATACGCCTCGAGACAAATGTTCGAGACGGCAATCCAACAATGTTCTCAATGCAGACCGTGATGATCTCGCCTCCTGGGAGGCGTCTTCTTGATTATGCTGCAGAGTGTCCTCGAGTGGAAACTGTCGAGTGGATCTGGACTGTGGGTAACTCCGTCGAGGGTGTATTTAATGCGGCAAATTCTACAGCTGCGCGCGCCTTGGGCAAGTAGGTGATTCGACGCTTTGGATTAAGGCACACCGTTTAATAGGAGTTGCCGACCGATCAAATAACGCATGTTGGTCCCAATCGAGTAATCGATATCCGATGCTGCAGCTAGCGCGAGTTCAGAGCTGATCAAGTGGGTGTTTGCGGAGAACGCCTAGATTACGCAATAGGCGCTGCGAGTTTTCACAAACAGCAAGAAATCGCGCACTGGTTGAATGAGAATCAACGGGGGCAACCCAGCGGAAACGCGCTTAACTGTGCAGCAATCAGCGGTGATTTATGGATAGTATGGTGGCTGCACTCGAGCGGAGTTCGCAGGTGTTGCAGTGATACAATGGATTTGGCGGCGAGGCATGACCACCTCAACGTGGTCAAGTGGTTCTACGCGAATCGACGGAGCGATGCACCGCTGAAACCATACAATCCTGCTGGCTGGCTCCACCTACACTATGCCATGCACGTTCACACGTATCTAGAAGGAGTGCGACGCGACCAGAAAGGGACGTAGGTGTCTATGTTTTCCGAGCAATTTCTTCCTGGTTGTCCAGCAAGGTCAGGATCCCCACACATGCTTGTCGAATACCAAGCAAAATGAGACAGCTGGAGTAGTATAGCAGTGACCAAGATATAAAACTTTTATCTATCACCCTGCTACGCGCTAACGCGCGGCGTACCTTGACGTTCCTAAATAATTGCCTGATAAACATACTTACGAATAAATTGCTTTGCGAGACTTTTTTGCTTGGCAAAGGTTTTCCCATGCTTTACCCCAGCGTTTGCAAAATATATCCGACGCCTTTTCTGGCAGGAAAGATGAACTTCGTTGGTTGGAAGTACGACTAAAAAGAAAAACACCTCGAGGCGGTGGGTTCACGTAACAAAACAAAAGCTTGTAGAGTCTTGGAATGTCATTCTTGACCACGTAAACTCTTGCCATTCGCTGTACAATACGTTTGAAATCACAAATATATGGAATCATTACTAAAAACACCCAAATAATGTGAGCTCCACGACGCAGTAAACTTTTCCTTCTCAAAAGATGTCTTCATTGCCGTCACCATGCTCCACCCTCACCATGATATTGTTCATCACCATCGCCAGGGCGTTGTTGGCCGCCGCAGGGCCTTGTGCACCCGGTTGCTGAATAGGGATTAGCTGAAAGTCACCGCCCAGTTGCCTCGCGATCTGCTGCGCAATATTTTCAGCAATTCTACCTGCAAGTCCTTGGGCGCGACCGCCTTGATCCTGGGGGATCTCTGGCACGGGGTAGTGTAGCTTCAACCAGGCTTGGATCTGGACATCGCTTGGCGTCGGTCGTCCCGTAATAGGCAGGCGGGCGCTTCGCACGAAGTCGGGCGTGAAAGTCTCCGGATGGTGCACATGTAGGAATAGCAGCACCTCGAACTTGTTCTTCGAGACAAGCGGACTGAAGCTTGCAGGGTTGAACTCGGTAAATCGCCGCATCAGCCAAGATGCAATACCAAGGTGACCGTTGCTTACCGCTCTCTGGATCGCCTGGGCGGTACAGCCTTCCGATCGGTTTGTAGCCAGCCACTCCAGCGTCTTCAAGTGCCCCCCAGCAGCAGCCAGATCCATCGTATCCGTCGTACACCCAGCCGTGGTGTTGGCATGGAACCACTTTACAATCGTGAGGTGGCCTCCCTCCGCTGCAAAGTCCATTGCATTGGAAGTACAGCCTTCACTCCGATTGGCATGCAACCACTTCACCACAGCCAGATATCCGTTGGCCGCAGCCGCATCCAACGCAGCAGTGGTGCATCCTTCCGTGCGGTTCTCGTGCAGCCACTCCACCGCGTTCAGTTGCCCGTTTGCGGCTGCATCGTCCATGGGGTCCGTTGCTAACCACAGATACCGATATCTATTCAGCTTCGGGGTGGTCTTCCGATGACGATCTGAGGCTTCCACAAATACTCGAGCGCTGCGATTGTTTTCTTCCACCTCAACTAGTGGTGGAGGAGAAGCAGGAGTGAATAGCCCAGGAATGTTCGACGGCTCCAGGCTTTCGAACAGCTGAAGCATATCGACACGTCCCCGCCTCGCAGCTTCGTCCATGAAACAGTACTCGGGGATCTTGCTCGGTCGCGGGTAGCGCCCCGGCAGCCACTTGACGGCCTCCAACTGTCCGTTGCTGATGGCATTGACCATCGCTTGCTCGAATGGTCCGTCAGCGTCTTCATCCTTCAGAAACTGCAACGCCTCGATGTTACCCTTGGCAGCAGGCAGATACATGAGACCCGATAGCGCTCTGCTGCGGCCCATCTCGTTGATGATTTGCTGTCCTGTAGGGTGGCCCACCATAAACTTCATGACGTCCACGTTGCCGTGGCTGCACACATCGCTGATCGCGTCGCGCCACTCACCGACCCAGTCCAGATGCTGCGGGGGCGGGCCATGCTGGTCGGAGATGCGGCGGATGAGGTCGAGGCGGTCGGAGCCGACCAGGTCATGAATTGCACGACGGCGCCGGCCCAGTCTCGCTGGAAGTAGCCGCAGTCCAGCTTCCACTCGATCATGGCAGGCGTGGCGCAGAAGTCGGCGTAGTCCAAGATGCACCTGCCCTTGGGTAGCAGGGACTCGCAAAAAGCCATGTCTCCGACGTCCATGGCAGCCTTGATGGTCCAGTCGCGCACTTGCTCCGTCATGGTACCGAGCGGTGTGTAGTGGTGTAACCAGTGCGCCGTTTCAAGCTGCTTGAGCTGCAGCGCGACTTGGACGACTGTGGGGTACCACTCAACCTTGATGCCTCGACTCGTGTTGGTGTTGGCGACCAGGAACTGCAGCACGGCCAGTCGCCCTTGCGCACCGCGAGCGCCACGACCATACACGGCACCACAGTGTCCTGGAAGTGGTCGAAGAGCCACTGCAGCAGCTCCATGTCCCCGTGCTCCACGACCACGTGCGTGGCCTCCACGAACTGCCAGCGGTTGTAGAACTCGTCGCAGCGTAGGAAGCGGGCGAGCGTCCAGCCGCCAGTGCGGCCGGAGGAAGCAGGCGAGTCGTGCTGCGTCGGACAGCTGCAGGCCCAGATCCAGTCCAGCAGCGTCGTGGAGCGGAAGCTGCAGGCGGCGCTGAGCGACAGGTGCTGCGACGGCCCGATGCACTGCGAGATGAGCGGCCCCGCCTGCTCCAGGGCGTCGGCGCCGCGCTCGTTCCGCAGCACGACCGCCACGCTCTGCAGAGTGAACGGCATCGGCGCAGCAACGGAGCGTAGGGAGCGCGAGGGGAAGCCGGTGAGGCGAGGCTTGGGGGGGGGGCGACGTGCGTTTGGCGGCGCAAATTGCGGAATGACGCCTGGCTTGCCTTTCGAATTGAAGTGACGTAGGAATGCGACGACATTATCATCGCCGCCGTGGACGCAGGTGACTGGGCCTTCTGTGAGCCGCTGCTACCCAGAGGCAGGTGTATCTTGGACTACGCCACGTTCTGCATCAAGCCCGAGATAATCGAGTGGAAGCTGGACTGCGGCTATTACCAGAGGGACCGGGTCGGGGCCGCTAATGCCATCCTCGACTTGATCAGCACGGGCCGCCCGGATCTCATCCAGCGCATCTGTAACCAGCACAACCCACCGCCGCAGCACGACGACTGGGTTGCCGTGTGGCGCGAAATACTGGTCGAGGCATGCAGCCACAGCAATCTGGACGTTACCAAGTTTCTGGTGGATCATCCAACAGGGCAACAAGTCATAAACGAGAATGACCGCAGCAGCACCTTACTGGATCTCATGCGCTACCCTGCCGCCAGGGGCGATACCAAAGCGATGAAGTATTTGTACAGCCAAGGCGCTATCGGTCCTTTTGGGGGCATCATGGTCAGCGCTATCAGCAATGGCCAGGCGGAGGCTATCATGTGGTTGATAAAGCGGTACCCGCGGGCATACAAGATCCCGGAGTACTGTTTCATGGACGAAGCCGCGAGACGAGGCCGTGTCGACATGCTTCAGCTGTTCGAAAGCCTGGAGCCGTCGAACATTCCTGGGCTATTCACTCCTGCTTCTCCTCCACCACTAGTTGAGGTGGAAGAAAACAATCGCAGCGCTCGAGTATTTGTGGAAGCCTCAGATCGTCATCGGAAGACCACCCCGAAGCTGAATAGATATCGGTATCTGTGGTTAGCAACGGACCCCATGGACGATGCAGCCGCAAACGGGCAACTGAACGCGGTGGAGTGGCTGCACGAGAACCGCACGGAAGGATGCACCACTGCTGCGTTGGATGCGGCTGCGGCCAACGGATATCTGGCTGTGGTGAAGTGGTTGCATGCCAATCGGAGTGAAGGCTGTACTTCCAATGCAATGGACTTTGCAGCGGAGGGAGGCCACCTCACGATTGTAAAGTGGTTCCATGCCAACACCACGGCTGGGTGTACGACGGCTGCGATGGATCTGGCTGCTGCTGGCGGTCACTTGACGACGCTCGAGTGGTTGGCTACAAACCGGTCGGAAGGCTGTACCGCCCAGGCCATCGAGAGAGCGGTAAGCAACGGTCACCTTGGTATTGCATCTTGGCTGATGCGGCGATTTACCGAGTTCAACCCTGCAAACTTCAGCCCGCTTCACGCCCAACTTCGTGCACAATACCGCCCTGTTTCTAAGGCGACGACCGACGCCAAGCGATGTCCACATCCAAAACTGGCTGAAGCATCACTACCCTGCACCAAACGTTTCACAACGTCAAGGTGACCGTGCCCAAGGACTTGCTGGGCGATTCGCTGAAAACATTGCCCTTCAAATCGCGAGGCAATTGGGTGGTGATCTTCCTGTATTCCCTGGCCAACAAGAGGCGCTACAACAAGGTAATGTCCCCCTGTTGATGGATCTACAGAACCTTTTGATGATGGCTGTGCGCCACGGTGGCAACTAGGCATGCCTGAAAGTATTATCCAATTGGTACTAGATCAAACATGTATGCCGGATCATTTTGAGCCATTTTTCCTTCCGTATCGAGGGCATGGGTGGGCCTCTCGGAAGCGTGACCTCTTCACGCTTTAATTAATGGCGGTGGACAAGTTCCAACCGATGCAATGGATAGTTCAAGCTGATCTGACGTAGCAACGGAACGTCGAGCGGCAGTACCACCGGTATGGAGTGCATTGCTTGTGGCCTCAGTTCCTTGTGTACGATGCCGTATCCAGCAAGCTGGGTCATGAGCATGTACGAAAGGATGCGAAACCATGCGAGCCACACCAGCTTACGCAACATTTTTGAGTTGGAGTTTCATTTGAACCAGCACAACGTTGTGATGATAGACTCGACGGCGGTAAAAGCGTCGAGTCTAACCAGCGCGATGCATCTCTGTCAACTTCCAGAGCCATATCTCATTTTAGCAACTTCACTCGAGATTCTAGCGGCGGAGACAAGTGGCAGCGATAACGCGTTCTTTCCTAGCCTTGTGAAGTCGGTACTTTGACGTTTTGCCCTTGTGGGCCGTCTGTCCTGCCAGACGACACCCGACAGGTGTCATCAGTAGCGTCGACTAGCTTTTTCATGCGACTGTACTCTACCGAAATGTCAACAAAGAGAGACCACGCCAAGCGAATATGTACGTGTACCTGCGCGTTCTGAATCCATTGGACACGATACTACTTCTATAAACCGTATTGGTAGTCCCGGCGTCGATCCGGGATCAGGACCGGTTGACGGTCATTTACAGTTAATTCGTGATCTATTGTGGTGATTTGCTAGACGCCGTCGACTCGGGGACAAAACTGCCAGGCCTTTCCGGTGATAGTCTCATAGTCTCCATCGAGAGCCCCCCCCCAGCATCTGGCCCCCTGGGAAGCTTTTAAAACAGGTCTTATGCAGGTCTGGTCTTTTTTGGTCCGTAGGACTAAAACAGGACCGAAATAAAATCAGCCTCCAAATGGGACCTAAAAAAGACCCTGCAGAAAACAAGGTTTTAGAGAAACTCTACAATTAAATATTCAAACGGAAAATAAATGTATTTTGTATTAAAGGGGATATTGCAAATGAAAAACCATACCGGACAAAAACTTCAACCCTGCTGTCAGGTTAACTGTCAGTCATGCTAATCCGGCTTGTACTCTAGCTGCCCGGGCCGTCCGACTTGATGAACACCCCTGCCCCCGCGAGTTAATAACTCAGCCAAACGATAGAGTACACACTCGGTGGATCCGTCAGCACCAATAGTCTCTCCATGGTACCAACACTGTCATACAGGCGACACACGAGGTCGCAACGCAATCACCATGGGCCCAACCAGCGCACCCTACGCAAGCAAAGCGTCCAAACGGTGCCAACTCTCGGACCAGCAAGCTTCACAGGATATCATTCAGTCTAATCAGGCCGAACGTCAGCGAGCCAACAGCAACCAAAGCATATGAGAAGAAGTCCACACCAGCTACCGCTATATGCACTAAGGCTAGACCAATTGTAGTTTTCCTTAAATTGCGGTCTTAGGGACAATCGAGAAGTTCATTTTGCGTAGGAGCCGATGCTTGAAGTACTCGTGCGAAGCAGTACTGTGAGATACTAGCCCCGTGGGATGTGGAGGGCGAGCTGCGAGCTAGCGCCCTGCTGGATGTCGATCACTGGATCACTATCTAGCTTCCTGCAGAGGCAAAGTACAAGCAAGTACTTATGCAGCATACAAGAATACATGGTCGAAGATAGCAGTAGATTCACACGAGGACGTCTGAGCAACCCAGTTAGTTAAAGCTCATTAAGAAAGTCTGGCAATAGCGTCAGTCCGAGCAGCGTCGGGGATCGACACCAGCAAATTCAGACATTTGGGTTTCATATTATAATCTCCAGCTCTACTTCAATAGCGGCTGCCCTCTATAATCTATCACGATATTTTATATCAGGGTGAAGGGGGTCTAAAAATGGCTTGTTTCGTAGTGATATCATTTGGGTCTCGCCATCCAAAACGGGACCGTTAGCGAATTCATACTGATTTTCTGTTCGGTCTCGTTTAGGTGCCGTAGGACCAAAACAGGACCAGACCTGCATAAGACCTGTTTAAAAACTTACCGCCCCCTGAAGTCAAGGAATCAACGTTCCTGGTTGCCAGATCGCTCCAAGCCCTTTACTTGGAGAGGTTTCAATACCCATGTATCATACCCATCCGGTATTCAGACCGCAACGTAAAGGTGAATTATGCTGTGAATACAGTCTCGATCACGCACTTCGTATGGTATCAAGTGCCTCGCGTTTGGATACTTGTTTCCCATGCATGATGACCAGCCTTTCCTGACCCAACCACATCCTGCTGTGGCCAGCGTGGCGCTCGAACAGAGGATTCCAGCGGTCTCGCTCGAACAGACAAAGGACACTACAAAGGATTTCGATCCTGCCAGTTTCAAATTTGCCTTCCAAGAACAACAGCGCCACTTCCTACAATGTTGACTGCTTTTGCTTTCGCATCCGCCGCGCTGCTGGCAGCCTCTATCCCGAGCGCCGACGCCCACGGTTACATGCTGATCCCCGAGTCGCAGTTCACGGGTGGCGCCAACTCCGCCTGGGTCGTGCAGATCGACCCCGTGTGGGCCAGCGACAAGTGGGATGGCAACAACGCTGGAAGCGTTGAGGTGTTCAAGTCTCTCAAGTCGGCCAACAACTTCAAGGACCTCAAGACGCTCATGGACGACACGTCGGTCTACGGCCAGGACTGCGGCTTCACGGACCCCAACGGCACGCCGCAGCCCATTCCGACAGACGGCAAGGCCACCTTCTCCCGTGCTCTGGTGCACGTGGGTCCGTGCGAGATCTGGCTCGACAACACCAAGGTGCTGTACGAGGACGATTGTTTCAGCAAGTACGGCAATGAGAACCAGGACATCAAGTCGGTGTTCCCCGTGGACTACTCGTCGTGCAATCATGGAGGCTGCAAGGAGATGCGCTTCTATTGGCTGGCATTCCAGGGTCTTGACAGTAAGACGGTGTGGCAGTCCTACAGTAAGTTTACTGGCTATGAGTTACGTCAATTATTGGTCTCGTGTGGCTTACGAATGATGTGTTCTTTGTTTTGCAGAGGACTGCATCCCGCTCCAGGGATCGGGCGGTGGTTCGACTAACACGACCTCTACGTCGACGGAGTCCGTCTCGAACGAAGCTCAAACCCCGACGAGCGACTCGAACACTCCCTCAAGCGGCAACTCGGCCACCCCGGCGCCGGCGTCGGCAGACTCCCAGACCACCCAGGCACCCACGAGCCAGAGCTCATTTGCCAATCCTTTCGCTGGGAACACTGCTCCGTCGTTCGGCTTCTTCCGCCGCAACTAAATACTTTCCAGTTTGTTGTAAGTGTTGATGAGTGTAGATTTTGGAAATTGCGTTAGCCACGCTGGTTGGCTTTATATGTAATCGTGATAAAGTATGGAACTGAGTACCTGGGCTTGCGGTTTTGTTTTTCTTTTCTCCTTTAGTCACTCACTTTCCTCATTTGTCGTTGAATAAGAGGGAAATGTATGACAGGTGGAAGTGAAAACCCTCAAACGGAAGCAAAACGAGGATAACGACAAGCTCGAGGAGGCCAGCGTGTGCACGACCGAAAACAACTAGCGCAAGGCTGGCGTGAAGAAGAAAAACCGCAAGGGTCGGCGTCCGTCGACAACTGCGAATCTGCAGAAGAAGCGCGAAAACCACGAGGCTATATGCTTCAAAACCGCTAGACAGAATGTCGTTTAGTTCTTGCTCACGACGACTGTAGCCCCCGTCGTTAGCTGATAGCTAAGTGACAATAATGATCCTCAAATTAAAAACAAAACAAACAAAACAAACGACTGTAGCCCCCCCCCCTCCTCCTCCAGTTCCTCTTTGAGTGAACGTACTTCATCTTCCAGCACGGAGGTATCCAGAGTGTGTGTGTGCTACTGGATATCGTCCGACAATTCTTCATCTAGATCACGATGCTCCAGTCTCTTCTGGTTGACTTGCGCAATAAATACTTGACGAAATCATTGTGCTGCTTCACCTAGTGACGGAAGTCTTCCCCGTCTGTCACAGCCGAGCCTCGTCACGCCGAAACTGGTACTGGTTCCCCCTAAATAATCAAGCCACGGCCAAAAGCCATTATGATTGTTACTGTCACAAATACTTGTGCAGATATGTCGGTAGCGAACCTTGCCACCCTAGCTGTCCCCACACGATGATAAAATGGTGAATGCACTTGCAAGGTTTAATTAAAAAAAACTGAAAAAAAGAAACCAGAGAGCTCGAACAACCACATTTCGTTTCCAACTAAAGACCCATTCTCTATGGGCTGGCAACATTTACACAATCTACACTCTTCGTCACTCGCAAAACGACATGAATGCTTACTTGAAGCTGAACGACGGGGCCGTCGTGGCCTTCGGAGTATCCGCCGATGAGCCCTGCGTGGTGGGGGCCTCCGTGGATGGCGAGTCGTTCGACGCCGGGGCCGGAGTGGCCGAATTGTCGCTCGAGGAAGGCGTCTTGGAGTCCCCACTCGACTGCGTTTTGGATCCGTCACTCGAAGGGGCCTTGGAGTCATCACTCGTCGGAGTTTTCGAGTTGTCACTTGACGGAGTTTTCGAGTCGTCGCTCGAAGGAGGCTTGGCGTCACCGGTTGTGGGAGTCAGCGCGCCTGACGACGAAGAGGTCTGCGAGGTCTGCGAGGTTGAGTTCGACGGTGACGTGGGGGTCGAAGTCGAGGTCGACGAGCCGCCACCCGATCCAGTGAGAGGAATGCAATTCTCTGTAATAGAACACAATACGCCGAGTTAGTACGAGCGCAATCATGGAGCTGCGGAGTACTAGTGTCCCAAGAACTTACTGTAGGACTGCCACACGGTCTTGTCGACGAGGCCCTGGAAACCGAGACAGTAGCAGCGCATCTCCTTGCAGCCGCCGTTGTTGCAGGACGAGTAGTCCACGGGGAACGTGGTGATGACGTCCTGATTGGGGTTGCCGTACTTGCTGTAGCAGTCGTCCTCAGACAGCACCTTGTTGTCGTCGAGCCAGATCTCGCACGGACCCACGTGGATGAGGCCGCGAGAGAAGGTGGCCTTGCCGTCCGTGGGAATGGGCTGCGGCGTGCCGTTGGGGTCCGTGAAGCCGCAGTCCTGGCCGTAGACGGACGTGTCGTCCATGAGCGTCTTGAGGTCCTTGAAGTTATTGACCGACTTGAACGACGTGAAGACCTCGACGCTCCCAGGGTTGTTGCCGTCCCACTTGTCACTCTTCCAGACCGGGTCGATCTGCACTACCCACGCCGAGTTGGCGGCGCCCTTGAACTGTGACGCGGGCTTGGCGATGTATCCGTGGGCGTCAGCGGTTGGGACCAAAGCGGCCAGAAGCGCGGTGGTAGATGCGAATGCAGCAGCAGTCAACATTGCCCGAATAGTGTTTGGGAAGGTGGGTTTCTGGGGCTGTTGGTGCTTAGGAGCAGAATTGAAAATGGTAGGAGAGGACGAGTTTGTCGTGAACGAAAGACTGATCGGGTGCGCTTTGTCCGTTCGTTCGAGACCGGCGGAATCTTCTGTCCGAGCGTGAAGGTGTGTGCGGTCGGTGCGCTAGCACGATATGCCGTCATTTGGGGGCAGTCGGAGGCTCAAACGCGAGACAGATGCAGCCATACAAAACTTGTGCTTGATAATGCAATCGCCACAATTTCCCGATACGGTGTGATCTGCAGACCGGGTGGTATCGCTGTTGTTGTGAAGGTTCACTCGGGCAGAGGCGTTGGAGAGTATTTGGATCGAATCTGGGAATTAGGAACTGTAAAAAAGTTGACTAGCTCAAACAGATGTGCATGGATAGACTGACAACCTCAGGTTGTCAACCTGTACACCGAAATGCATGCAAGATCTGAACTTTGATGATCTGACCTTTGACTGTGATAATTCGAATCTTCTCTGAACCTAGCAATCTTACTCTGGACTCAGATGCACAAGCCCGTTTCGAGGCTGCAGCCGCTCCCGTATCAACTAGAAACAAAAACTCTGATAAACTCGCAAAGCCCTGCGGTACACGAACATCGAAGCAAGGCTTCAAGTATTGATAACTGACGTTGGACCTCTCCTCGACGATAGAAGTAGAGGCGGATACAACGAGACTTGCCCGGTGACATCTGGTAGGTGCTTGGACACACGGTCATGCTGTGAATCATGCCCCTGTTTACTTTTGCTACAGCAACACCATGCGGAGGGATGGCTTCGACAAGATGCGGATGTGTCGGAAAGACTGCGCATTACGCGCACGAAAGTCGCTTCAAATAACGCGATCTTTTCGATACAAGTTCACAAAAAATCCACGGAGTGCCCAACCGACAGTTAAAGAACTATCCACACAGTTTAAAAGCGTTTTTCGGCGTTCCTAATACGGTATTCATACAAGAACTTTGGTTGCTTATCGAGAAGTCATCAATCTGTAACAAGGATTTCTCGTTAGTGTGAGAAAACAATGGCTCGAGCGTTGACCATCGTGGCGTTCGTCCTGCGCCATCAGGCGGACGTCGACGCGTTGCAGGAGTTCAGCGAGGCCATCTCCAACTTCATCGGCCCCGACCCGAACCTTTCAGTGGCGGACGCCTGCTCCTTCGGCTCCACGAAGCTGCTCGACTGGATCTGGAGCGCCAGCGCCGCCTCTAACCAAGAGCGGACGTCCAGGTGAACGCTTTGCAACTACCACCCAAGTACGGTCAGTGGCAGTTCCAAAAGGCGGTGGGGGTGGCAGCCTCCCGAGCAGATTTGGGTCTAATCAAAAGTGGTACGACTTTTGTACCCGCTAAGACAGAAAAATGTCTATTTTTAGCGCATCTTAGAAATGGCACTTTATCGGAATTGGGCTCAAATAATTGTAATTGATTTATACTATACTCGTCTGGCCCACCTAAGAAACAACATTTCTATCTGGCCGTCAAAAAAATTCAAAAATTATCAGTTGGGGGTAGTACATGCTAATTGATAATACCAGTAGCCCATAATTGAGTATACTTCAAGTTTAGAACGTCACAAGCGATTATTTTGGATGCCGCCCTTCCAGCTCCAGCCCCACGCCGTGGTGTTGGTGCTACGCCATCACACATCCACTGCCTCTCACTGTCGCCAGTCGCCCTGGAAGGGACGGCTGCCGCTGCGAGAACGAAGTAGGACGGTACGGACAGGAAAGGAACGGTATGAAATACAACAGAGTCAAATGCACAGATTCAACTTGTTGTTTCCACGGCAAATTCACGACTAACCAACCTACCCGGCCCGGAGCACTTCGCCCCGCGCTCTCTCTTGCTTCTCTTCAACTTGAGCGTCGACACACCGCCGCCCCCGAACCCATGGTCACCTCCTTTCACCCCTCCTCCCTTGGCTCACGCCAAGGCTCACGCCCCGAGCCACGCAGGGTCCGTGACCTCCATCCTGTCTCCTCCCGTCACCGCCAACTCGCGAAACACGCCACTGCTTCCATCACGACTCTTCGTCCACGCAACTGGCCCACCGCCAGCTAATCCTCGCTAAAGTCCGATGACTGCTCAGTCAGCTGATCCTCGAACAGCTGATCCTCGAGTAGCAGTCCACGCGCTGATTGACTGGCTGCCGGAGGACGGCTACGACCGTACCCGAGACGGTGACCACCGTTCCCACTCGGGACATCCTCCCCGACTGAGACTCGACGTCCTCGTCGAGCGTCCTCTTCCTCCTTGGTCGTCTTCGTCTTCGCGCGCAGGGCACGCTGCTCCGCCCTCAGCCCGCTCAGGGTACGCACCGGCTTCGGTTTTCCGACGCACCCGTCCGCACACCAGAATGCTTCACTCAGGCGTTCGGCTTGCTGCAATTCCTCGACGTCACGGAGCCAGTCGGCGTAGCTCTCCTCCGCCATCTTCGCAGGTGAACGCACTCCCGACGCCGCCACCACGCAGCTCCACTGCATCACGACTGCATCAGGGCTCAACCCACCGTCGGCAGTCAGCCCACCGTCCGCCAACATGTAGTTCAGGGCCAGGCGTAGCACGCCCACACCCACCGTTCCTTGGCACGCTTTCTCGGCCAAGTCATACACGTAGATGACAGTGTAGAACGCGGCATACGTCGCTAGTGTTAGGAACGCCCCCAATCCACGGTCCACACAGCAGGCACGGTCGACCGAGCGCCGACACTCGGCCCTCGATCCGCGCCAGTACTTCACGGTAGACTCGCCACCCAGCTCGAGCACGTCGGGCAGGAACACACACCGCAGAGCGTGGTAAGCATCCAGCCACTTGTACAGTAGCCAGCCTAAGCCATCCTTATGTTCACCTCGGGCCTCGAGCACCACCATGGGCGTGGCCCATATTGCTTCAAACGCCTTCCATCGACGCTCCGCGGACGGTCTGCCTTGCACAGATGGACCGTTCACGAAGCGACGGTACCGTCTTACGCATACCTTCAACAGAGTCAGCCACTTGAACACAAAGCGGAACGCGGCCCCGATCAATCGCCCCGCAATGCTCCACAAGGGTCTCGTGATCACGCCGCCCACCGCACCAATCAGCACCAGCAACACGGCCGGCCAGTGGTTGCGCAGCACCCACCACACAATCTTCAACACGAACAGGGAGTGCCACAGGCACCACTCGACAACAACCGTCACGGTTTCCATGTCCGTCAAGGAGACGAAAGCGAAATGCCCTCGCCTCGGTTCGCTCCTCACGGTCGTCCACAGCACTCCATGTTCACAATCATCCTTGTAAGCGTCCAACCGTAACGGGTGACCCACTGTCGCAAGTCTCGTCAATCAACTTAGTCAATCACTCGACCGTCTCACGCCAACCGTGGCTCTCCCATTTCCAGGAAGGCAAATCCGCAGCCAAACGTCCCAACTGCCAGGTCGGAACGCATCAGCAGAGGCCGCGGCAACTCGCAGTCTCGCCCTCATTTCAGCTTTCGCCGAGAAGAGAACAAGACTCCCAAGAAGCCCCAGCCACCACCTTCCGCCATGGCCAAGTCGCGAGACGTCAACAGGGAGGCCGTCCTGCGACGGCTGCGCGCACGTCTCGATCGCCGGTCCCGGGGCGCGGACGCTGATGCCGATGCCCAGCTCCGTGGCCAAGTGGACTTCTACGTACGCCTGCGCGCGGCGCTCTTCGCCAACAGCGGCTCCACGAACGTGGACGCCGTGGACGCCGTCGCCGTCGCCGTCTTGGCCGACGACAGGCTCTTTCCCGTCGAGCTACTAGAGACCGTGACCCTGCTGCCGCTGCCCAACGCGTTGCGGGTCGTAGCTGCTCCCGCTCACGACCTGTTCGCCGTCCCTGCGGCTTCAGCACGCTCGACCACCAAGCGTCCGACCACTCGCAGTGCGTCCAAGGCGCCACTGGCCAAGAAACAGCGCAAGTCCCAGGCCCAGGACCAGGACGACGACAAAGCAGACGACGAGGAGGACGACGGCACGAAGGCCTACACGTTTGCGTTGCCCGACAAGTGTCCCGCCGCTATCCGCCGCGACACTAACAAGATCGTCAAGCAGGCGGACACGCAGGGCAAGACTCCGCCTCGCATGGCGTACCCGTGGGTTGGCCAGCGTGCGTGGTACGACCCGCAGGAGCGCCCCGCGCTCCACGTGGCGCATTGGCGCTTCTGGATGCACGGGCGCGACGTCTTCTTCGCCTGCACGCTGTACGCGCCCTCTGACGAGTGCACGGCCCGCCGCAAGAAGAAGTCGAACGCCGGCCAGGGGCGACTCGTGTTCGTCAGCCTGAACATCATCGAGTTCGGCTTCTACGGGTATCTCGACCTCTTCGAGAACCGCTCGCACGACAACCTGATGTGGCTCGGAGGCAAGGCCGCCCGCCGGTCGACGGCAGCTAAGGCGAACGCGAAGTCCTCCTCGGACGCGACCGTGGCCAGGGACCTCGCCACGCTGTACCGTCACGAGCGCGGACGTTACGACGCCATCATCGCGCGCGCACTTGACCCGTTCCGCGTGGATGAGGATGGTTACCAGTCCATCTCCGAGCTGCTCGAGCAGACGAAGGCGCTGGACCCGACCAAGCCTCCCCACCTCCGACTCAGCGATGAGGCCCTCGCGCGCGTCGTCATCGACGTCACCGGCGGCAACCCGCCCAACCCGTCTTGGGTCGGCAACAAGAGCGCCGGGACTTGGAAGCTCCTGCTGGGGAACGACCGTATCCGAGCCCTCGCCAAGAAGCTCGCGCCCCTCGCGAAGAAGGGCAAGCAACCGTTCCCACCCCAGAAGGCGTACGACGAAGACAAGGAGCAGCGCGACGACTACTCCGACTTCGCGGACGACGAGGACATGTTCACGGTGTTGCCCCCGACGTCGCACTCGGACGAGGAAGAGGACGGCGAACCCGAGGAGCTCCGCGAGAAGCTGCCCGAAGCCGAAGTCGACCAGGACCAAGAAGACGACGAAGAAGACGAGCAGGCTGACCAAGAAGACGAAAAGGAGCACAGTTGGGCGTCAATGAGCCCACGGACGGCGACACGAAGAGCAGCGCGGGCGACGAGGCCGATAACTCGGCGGTCAAGAAGAAGAGCGCCGCCTCCTTGGCAACACCCAAGTCCAAGTAAGCTCGCCGTCGTCTTTTTAGGGACGCGTCACTAGTCGTTCATGTTTCTTTCTCCAAATCTGCTAGCGTCCCCCCAATTAATCAATTCAAATTCAAAACACGTAATTCCATTTCCACCGATCCGTTCTCGAGTTCCAAGTGACCGTACCATCACCGTACGCGACCGTCCCTAGGATCGCGAACAACACCCTTTCCGACACTGCTAAGCCATGAGCAGGTCTTCGTCCTCCACTTCAGCGTTAGCCTCTTCCAAACGGAAACTCTTCCGTAGCTCAGGCAGGCGCTGCTTCCTCCGTTCGGCTTGCTCAAAAGCCGTCACTAAGTCGCTGTACTCGGGCATTAACTCACCCGAGGAATCCAGTGACTCTCAAAATTAGCCGTAAGCACCAGGTACTTCACAGCACGGTCGACCACTTGTTTCGCAACAATCTCCAGCAGCGGCGAAGTAACCCCCGTGAGGGCCGTATCCCCGCGACCTATGGTCACCCGTTCCGTGAAACCGGATGCCGGTAAATCTGCTTCCTCCAGCGGACCGTCTTCAACTTCTTCCCCGTCCTCCACAATACCTTCCGGCACTTCGTCCATGTAGGGCGGAGTCCACCGGCCACGGAACTTCTTCAACCGGTTGACGTTCACAGTTACGATCTTGTCTGGGTGCGATGGTATGTCGATCCGATAGGCGTTCTTGCCCACTCGACCAACGACACGGTACGGGCCATGCCAGGCAAAGGCCAACTTCTTCGTCCTCTCCTAGCCCCTCTTGTTCCTGAAGAGTTGATAGACCCAAACAGAATCACCAATTTCGTACTGCACAGCCACGCGATCGCCCAGTCGCTGCTCATGTCGATCCTGCGCCTTCAGGAGCTGCCTCTCGACCAGATGACGCGAGTCACGCAAGGTACGGTAGAGCTCGCGGCGGTACGCTGCCACTTCATTGCTCTTCTACTTCTTGCCCAGGTTCAGAAATGCGACGTCCAGCGGCAACACAGGATCGCGCCCGTAGAGAGAAAAGAAGGGCGAGTCGCCCAACGCTTCATGGTAGGATGTCCTGTTTGCGAATAACACCCTCGGCAAATATAGATCCCAATCCGTCTGAGCCTCACTCACGTGCATTTTCAGCATGCCCATGAGCGTCCCATTAAAGTGCTCAACCAGCCCTTGAGTCTGCGGATGATACGCTGAACCGTACAGCTTCTTAATCCCCAGCGTCCGGTAGAAGGACTTCGCAATCTCCGACGTAAAGTTTCGTCCATTGTCACTCAGCAACCGCGACGGCACACCGTGCCGCGCCACCACTCCATTCACCATTACTTCCACGAAGGTCACCGAATCCAGGCGAAGCACAGCAAAGGCCTCGGCCCACCTCGTAAAGTAGTCGACAAATACAAGGATATACTTGTTCCCTCTCTCCGTCACGGGTAACGGTCGCACAGCGTCCACCACCAGCATCGAGAAAGGACCCGAGAGATCCGCCACCGGCATTCGCTGCATCTGGCCGGCCTGCCACGGTCTCGACCCCTTCCCGCTGCCACTCCGATTACACTCGCGGACATACTCCGTGACGTCCTTCCTCCAGCCAGGCCAGAAAGCGTGCCTCCTTACTTTCTCGAGCGTCTTGGTCAGACCCAAATGCGAGGATAGCACGTCAGCGTGGCAGTAGTGTAGAACGGCTTCCACGTACGGCACCGGCACTACCGGGACGGTCAGGGACCGGGCAGGTCCGACCCGAGCCGGTAAGTGCACCTTCCTCATCAGTAACCCGTTCCGAACCACGTATCGAGACCGCATCCTCATAATCGTCGACCGGAGGAACGGATCCAAGGGTAGGGCCCCGTCCAGCAGAAACGCCACCAGCGCCTTCACCCACGGAACCTCTTGCTGCGCTTGTATGAACTGGTCGAAGTCGAGACCGAACCGATCCACAGGAGTTAGAGGGGCACCTCCACCGGGAGTGTCACTCACGGCTTCATTAGGCTGGTCAGGACACATGCCCATCGACACACTCGCCACCTATACCAGGACCGTCGTCGGCCCCCGCTTGCTCCCCGACTGAAGTCGGAAGCACGTCCTCGACCGTGCCTTCCGGGTTCAGCAAGTCCTTCATCGAGAGAGCCGCCACCGTGTCCATAGGTAGTCTAGATAGACCGTCCACGTGCCCCATAGAGGTACCAGGCTTGTGATGCACCTTAAACTGCAAATTAGAGCGTTCCATTGCCCACCGAGCCAGCTTAGCGTTCGTAGTACGGTTGCCAGGACTAAACACCCACGTCAGCGCCTTGTGATCCGTGTATAAGTCGAACTCACGCTTGTCGAGATAACATCGGAACTTCCTGGTCGCCCAGACGACCCCCCAACACTCGATCTCGGAGATGCCGTCCTGCTTCGTGATCCAGTTCTTCTGAGACCCGGTCAACAACTTGCTCGCATACGCCACCACACGGTTACGGCCGCCCACTTCCTACATGAGGCACGATCCAACCGCGTGCCGTGACGAGTCAATGTACAACTTGAACCGCTTCTTACCGTCCGGATAGACTAGGATAGGAGGCTCCATGAGGGCCTTCTTCAGTTGACGAAAAGCACCTTCACAGTCCTCGCTCCACTCGAACGGAGCGTCCTTGACCTTCAAGCGTTCCAGGGGCGCTGAAATGGAAGCGTACCCCGGAATGTAGCGACGGAAGTAGCTGGTCAACCCAAGGAACGACCGTATGCCGTGCACGTCCACAGGCCTCTTCACGTTCAGGACCGCTTTTACCTTCTCGGGATTGGGAAGGATACCCGTAGGCGTGACAATATGACCCAAAAAGGCAACTTGACTTCTTCCCCAATGGCACTTTTTCATCTTGAGCTTGAAGCCCGCTTGCTGGAAGCGAGTCAGCACTTGACGAACACGCACCAGGTGCGTAGGGAAATCCTTGCTGAAAATCACGCAGTCGTCGAGGTAGACCAGGCAGATCCGCCACTTTAGATCCACTAGCACGGTCTCCATCAACCGCTCGAACGCTGGGACAGCGTTACAGAGTCCAAATGGCATCACTAGCCACTCGTACAGACCGTACTTGCATGTGAA